ATAAAATAATAATATTATATAATTAGAATAGGTACCTATTTTACAAAGTTCAGTGTATTTTTAACACTAATGAACATTTTAGAAATGTTACGTTACGGTAAAACAAGCGTCACTGAAACCGTTTGGAAAATGGGTTGAACGTAACGGACAAAATTAAAACCGTGCCAGCAAGATCCATCTGTGAACCAAATTGCTTTTCAAAGAGGAGTCATCTTACCTATAATTCAAGCTGCCTGGCTAAGTGATAGACGTCCCAGTTTATTAAAGAATTTATTTTTTTGCTACATTTCAGTTTCAGATGATCAACGTCATAATAAGTATAAACAAATTGTTTACGATTCGAATAAAAGTTAAAGATCAGAAACGTACCTTTATTAAAGACGTACCTAATGAAGTACTTAGTTTTAAAATAACACTGCTACTGCAAAATAGTAAATTCTGAACAGGATACAAACTTTCAGTTTTATATTATTGCCATTATTAAATTTCGTTTTGAACTGATATTTCGGCGTTACTCATAGCGTGATGTCATGATAATGGCCCTGACAAAGCCATTTTTGCCATGGTTCCGCGTGGTACCATCCAAACTGTCGCCCACTATAGCTTTCTTTAATAGGTATTTCGAAGATATAATACAAAACCAATGAATGTAACAACGAAGTTATAGATGATACTTAAAAGTTTATAGCTCCACTTCGGACATAAATAAAAATTTGAAAGTTTATCCTAATTACGGATTCTAATGAATACGACTTAATTTATTGCCAACTATTAGGATGGCATATGCAGGCTTCATATCAATTAAATCGTGCCGTGACCAGAAATAGCGTGATCTCAAAAAACTAGTGTTTGTAACAGATTGGGTAGCCAATCTCTAAACGTATGTGTACACCATTGGGGTTACATGTCTATCTAGGTTGGGAATGGATTAGTCAAATCACCGGTGGGTGAGCATTATTCATTCTGGGATTTTTAAGACAAAACGCGGCAAATGAAGATTTGAACAATTAAAATTTATAAAAGGCTATACCCTGCCCCGCTTTGCTGCGGCACATTGGAATTGCATTGATAAGAAATGAGGAGCAAAATTGATAAAAACGATCCTTGAAGCGGTTTGTATATCGTGCCAAAAGTCTTGAGTTTTTTGATTTTTCTAAGCGTACACAAATCAACATAATATTTATATAAATAGATTTTAGTTTCTACTTTTCTTGCGCTTTTAATAGCTATCATAAACTAAATATGATGCACAGATGTTCGCACTAGTTCTCACCTGTCTATGTTGACGACTGACCAAAGCGCACATGGCATGTGTTGATGATAAGCTGTATGCGACTTAAACTATTCAACGTCGAATAAATTCGACACAACTCGAATAATTGAAATGTAAAGAAGTCTGAAGAACAAAAAAGCGCCCACTGTTACTCAGCCTAACTGTTGTCAGCTGTCACTGCGGATGATACATTGGGGAAACATTGGGGATTATATTAGTAGAGTCTCGACATTTGCTACGGTATGGTGTAGTAAGTAAGTAGTGCGATAAAGAGTAGGTTTTCAAAATATTTCGAAAGCGTTGCATTTTGTTCTTAGTTATAAAAATTAGTGCAACTGAATTAATTCATCAATTCTTTTCCCAGATTGTTATATAGTTTTATTAACTTGGATATGTCTTCACAGAGTAAATGTAATTTATTGCGATTGTAACGTAGATTATCTCATTTCAATGATTTCAAAAGAGTCTTAGTTTGTCTGCAAGAGATTTTCCATTTCACAAATAATACGAGTGTGGAATGATGCCGCGCTTCGTCCAGCTGGCATTGAATTTAAGAAATACAAAAATAAACGTGATTTGACTAATCTTGAGCTAAATCTAACATGTTCAGTATTATATAAATATACAAGTAAGTTATATGTATATTTAATGGGATGTATATTACGTACGTAGTTACGAGTAAGCTGTATTCATAATCTAATCAAGTTTTTTGCTTATTACTATATGGATTAGATGATATACACTAATTACAAACTATTAACAGAATTTATGATATTAATTTTCATTTTAATATTCCATTGAATTCCAAACAATAATTGAATAATACACAAAGCGTAATCAAAAATGAACTTATAATACCAAAATTAGAACAAATGTTATTTAGTGTTATGTTGACATTGTATGAATAGACATTGTATGAAATGATTATTATTTGCATAAGACTAACCCAATTTATTTTTGTATTGTGTATGTGAACGACATTTAATATCAAATTAACTTTATTACATAATAATTGATATTTATAGTATCACTATATTTTTATATATAAATATGTGAATGATATTTATTATAATGTAATATTGGCTAAATTAAAAACACTACTAAAACAAAACCACATTTACTATAGTTGAATCCAATTTTTGTAACATATATAACAGATACCTAGGACAGCAAGTTTATCTACAACATAACTAGATACCTAGGACAGCAAGTTTATCTACAACATAAATTAAAATTGAGTATTGGACGTACTTTATAGTTAAACATGTAAAACTATAAAAAACGTAAATGAACTGTTGTTTAAAATATTTTGTAAAAGATTTTCTCATGAAAATAAGCTTGACAGACTGTTGAGATTATAGCCATTGTTCCATTAGAATATTGATTATTACAGATAGGAAAATAAACAGTCTTATTACGGTACGTACGTTTTCAAAGTTTCCGGGCAACTTGTTAAATTTATCTTCGTTTCTGTAGACAGACGCCATCCTAGTAAAAAAAAAGACGAACATAAACGGGGACAATATGATAGCTGTTGTCGTCACAACACAACATGCCAAATTGTCTGGGACACCCCTTAGTTTAGCTACGCGGCAGCGGGCTGCTATAAACGTCTTTTCATGTCCAGCCCGTGTCAACCATTAAATAAAAGTCAAAGCGCCGGTCACTCATGAATAAATATAAACAAGAATGTTTTTGAATCCGTTCTGGTAGCGTCACTTTTACGACATATTATTTATGAAAGATTTGTGACTATTACCAAATCAGCATAGTAACGTTCGTTTTCAGTGGAGACGATCTACCGCCGCTGCATACGATGGTTTTAAAAGTGGGAGCGAATCAGCGAATAGTGAGCACTTTCTAGCATTCAAAAACATCTGTTGTTATAGTTTGTTTTCAAACATTCTAATTACAGAGTTCGTCGATTTCGAAGATGAACTCTTTAATTACGATTCTCGTTCGTAAAAATTAAAATTTCTCTCTTTCCGTCTTATTCCGTTGTTATAACGGTTTTACTGTTTTAAAGCATTTTTATACTATTTTTCTAGATCTAATTCTACGTGTAGAAGAGAATTAAAAGTGACTTAATTTGATACAATTTCACGAGAATTTTAATATTGAAAAAATCATATATTCTTAAACACGTTAAAATTGATACACATCCATACGTTATGGTAACAGTTGTCACAAATGTGCGTTATGTCACTGATATGCATGTTGAACTTTTATAACAAGCACTTATTAGGTATATATACATATATGTAGTTTTATGGCGTCATCGAAATCACAGTAAATAAAAAAATGTTGACAGCGTAAATACTTGAGTCTCTATTTTCGAAATATGATGACTGACATTATTTGGTATCTTAGCTTTGGTAGCTTGTAGAAAACGGTTAACCAACAGCCGGCTTCCGTCGCAGGTCTGACGGCTGTGCAGGTGTAGTCATATTGTTTCAACAACATTTGTAACCTGACCGTAATCGTTCCAAACTGTAAAATAACATAAAATAGAATAAGTGTCTCTTCAACTGTCATTTTTACTCCGCTGCAATTAAAGAAATCAACGACGCCACTATATAATTTTCTGAAATATGGTTGAAGTGTTGAAATGAAATTTTAGAGGAGTGTAAAAAAAGGCAAACGACTATATAAATATACATATATATTAGGTCTTAACCTATGAAGTTGGAGATTTGTATGAAAAAAAAAAAAAATCTTGGTTATTTTTTATTTTAACTAATCAAATGTGCATATATGCACACGCTACATACTACTATATAGTATAGTCCATCCTAAAGGTTGCCTGGAAGAGATCGCAGACTGCGATAAGGTTGCCCAATGTATCACTGTTTTTTGTGTTTGTATTCTACATTATAAGTATCCTATCATAGTGTGCAATAAAGAGTACCTATCTATCTATTAGAGTACTGGCCTAAATTATCTATACAATTTTGCCATTTTTGACGGCAGTTTGGTTATCCCTTTAGCGTAGAAGTCTGCTGGATTCGAGGCGATCAAGTCTGCAAAAGTGTTTTTTACTGCCTAAATTGTAAAATTGTCTAAATTTTAGCAAGGTTCGGTGAGTACGATGAATGACGGAGAGCTGACGGATCCAGCTGTAATTCTTGTAGCTTTGCGATGATCTGTCGTGAAGTGTAAGCTCACGCGTTGTCGTAGAGAAGCAATGGGGAAGACCAATTGACTAGTCGTGTGCCCACACAGAAGGGGTCATTTACACGCCGTAGATGGCCCGAGGTGTGTCGGGGTATCAGGGATTTCCTTCCTAGGGTACACCTGGTTCCCCGGCAACTGGTACCCGAGACAGCGTGCGGTTTTTGGTCGGTTCGAGTCCGACCTATCCACCGGTGGGTGGTATCCGAGGATTTCCGCACAGAAAAACAAAGGTAGAAATCGATTTCTAAAGATTAAACTATATAAGTGCAAGCACTACTCTAAAGATTCCCTAACGGGTGTAAACTTGAATGAATTAGAATATACTTGATCATTTCAATTTTATGCCTCGATTAATACTTAATACAAAGGGTGTGACGAGAGAAAAACAAGGTGATACGATGAGGATTTGTTTTCAACAGCATTTTAGAAAAGTAACAATAACATACAACAATACAGAGTGTATTGTTGTATGTTATTGTTACTTTTCTCTCTATTTAACTTTATGTGCTCAATTTTTAAATGAGTCACCATTTATTAAATGTTATCTTTTCAGGTAATTTCTATGCTTCAGAAATTGTGTCAGCGCTTGAATATCTTCATGCACGGAATATTGTGTACCGAGACTTGAAACCGGAGAATTTACTGCTCGCCAAAGATGGACATTTGAAAATTACAGACTTTGGTTTCGCGAAAAAGCTGACTGATCGGACTTGGACGTTGTGCGGTACTCCTGAATATCTCGCTCCTGAAATTATACAAAGTAAAGGACACAACAAGGCGGTCGACTGGTGGGCTTTGGGTAAGAGTTTTTATACCTCTTTTTCGATAAAGCATGTATCTCACATATTGGGTTGGTGATGGTAAACAGAGCGGTAGTCTGCCAAAAAATGTGAGCAAGAATTTGTAGAGAGATTATCTTGAGATAATTTTCAGGTATAGGCAAAATTCATCTAATAGCAACAGACAGCGTAGATTATCGAATTTTCACAGAGAAGGAAGGAAATGCGACGATGTAATACGGATATGTACGGATTTATGACACAAAAATTAAAACGTCATGCTCAACGGAAACCAAAGTCATGGAAAACCTAATAGTTTTTTTAGGGTTACTTTCCTAACAATGTATTGTATCTTACATTTTGTACTAGATTAAAGTAAGTTTTCTGTTTAAATACAGACATGTCATCTAAAAGAGCCTAACTCAAACTTAAAATATCTTTATTTCATAAAATCTTTAAAATTATTTGAAATCGTCTCTTGTGTAGACTCTAAAGTCATAGATCAACACACACAATAGCAAAAATCTCTGTTTAAATAAATATTTAGCAAAGTAAACATTTATGTATCGAAAATCTTTTATATGCCTGTGCCGATCTACATCCGCCCATTTCCAAGGGGTTGAGTCTCATGAGAAGAAAGGCCAAACAAACACACGGCCACTCTTTTTAATCAACAGATAACAATGGCATCATTAAATTCACACAACATTGTTTTGATATGTGCCACTACGTAAGTTTTAAGGACTAAAAGGTAAAAAGGCAATGAAGAGAAAACAACATATAGAAAAAGATGGAATAAAAAAGAAAGTGAAATAAAAAATGGCAAATTAAATAAAAGACATACTGCCCACATCACATTTCCACTACGAAATAGCCTGGGCTAAATTAATCCCAAGCATTCTTGTCTTCTATGTAATTAACAATTGAGTATAGTCTTTCTGACATAGTTTAAATTTTATTGTGGATTTAAATTTCTTTATACTAAAATCTTGTATACTATTTGGGATTTTATTTTAGAATGGGACACATAGACCTCGAAATGACTTGTTTATCTTTTGGAGCCTAGAGGCAGGTTTATTTCTATTTCTATTATTTAAAGCATGTACATCACTTCTTTTCAAGAAGCGATCTGGTTGTTAAGCTAATGTTTATTTAAATTGCCAACCCCCATTTGCAGGGAGCAATACTAATTTATAATTTTTTTTTTAGCAAATTGCTAAGTTCTTTTTTAATAATAATATTTATTTTTATTTAAATAAATGATTAAATTTCATGCTTCTAGACCCAGTGCGTTGATCGATCAGTCAGTGAATCAGTCCGTCAGTTTCTTTTGTAACAGATTTATATTTGTGACTTCCATGTTATGGTTCAGAATAGTTATAAAGCTTCAAGGTAATAGTGATTTAAACAGTCAACTTCAGAAGTGTAAAACACATCTTATCAAATTTATGAGACATCTTTTTGTATAAGTGTATAACACTAGTAAAACATTATAATTTCTACAGTCCAAAATCTATCGGTACAGTTTGTTAGTAATAATAATTGTTTATAAAGACTATCTTAATTTGAATAAAATTCCATATTCGTATTTTCATAGAAAGGAAATTACATTACTGCTAGTAGAAAAATTATGTTGATAAATATAAAAAATATAATTAGGTAGGCTATTCACAAAACGACAGTACGGTCTAACCTAACATATCCTATCTAACTGTATTATTTATCAGATTTCATTTGAGAGACGAGCTCTTAATTTATTTTTTTGTGGTGTGTAGACTAATTTATTATGTTCGGGAGATAATTGTAGGTTGTCAAATATGGCCACAGAAAATGTTAAAAAGAAAACAAAAATGACAAGTTACTGTTAGTCTCCTTGTATTTGTGTGCCCAGTGTGCATCATTACAGGTAAATTTAGAAATAATGGTTTATTAAATTTAATACTGTGCATTAGCTCACGTTCTAAGCCAACTACTAATCAACATATTCAGTGTTTATCGCTTTCTTGGCATCAAAATAGAACAATTAATGCTACGTTTTGGCAACGATGTTTTAATATTTAACATGTATGACTATTAACTTTTAATTAAATGTCCCATTAGTTAAAATTTAGATACTAGTCATGCAATAAAAATTGATTTTGGGACTATCAAGTCACATAATAATAAATTAGTTTTTTATTTAATACGAAATCTACGTTTATTTATTGTTTGCGAGAATAATTGTTGTAATAGATTAACTAGACCAGTTCAGCTGTTGTTTTGCGAACAAGGTGTGATTCTAGTATAGCGAATATTACTCGGCATCCTCCGAACTAGATACTGACATAAACGTGGATCAGCGGCAACAAGAAATATTCAAAACTTATGAATGTTTTGATTTTACATAATGTATGGATAAAACCGCTTTTGTACAATCCAAATGAATTCGGTTAATCATTATGGTTCAGAATAGGCTATTCAATAGAATAGGCAATTTCTTATTTAAACTGTTTCATCCTTTTTACTCTTACCTGTGGCAACTATTATTACTACTGCTTCAACCAAAATATAAAATATCATAGAGGATGACAGTTGGAATTTGTGGTGCTAAAATTTGAATTGGTGGTGGTTGATTTTCTGGTATTCTGTCCCGGTATCGGGAGGCCGTCAGTAAAAGATTATCAAGTCCTGTAAAGTGGGTATTCGGACGTAGGAGTGTAGGAGCCTTGGCTACTTTCAATTTGCAGAAGTTTATTGGATTATGTTATTCCTCGAATTCAGGTCTGTTTCTGCTAGACAGTCCTATGCGCTCAGTATGTTAAATTGATCAATTAAGTTATTGCCTCCTCTTTTTTCTATATTGAGATCCGCGACCGGCAATATTTGAATAACAGCCTTCTTATTTTTTTTTAAACAAATAATTCTAATTTTTAGCCTACTTCAAAAACACAAAAGAGAAGGTCATCAATTCGTCTGTTTTTTTGGACATTTTTTACGCGATTTCTTCGTCAATTGTAGATCGATTTTCGAAATTCTTTTTGTAATCGAAAGGGTATGCTCCCGAGGTGGTCCCATTACTACCAAATCAGAATTTGATGATGAGATCCTAGAGAAACCGAGGGTAACTCTCAAATTTTACAGGCCCGACAACGTGTTTTAGCTTGTTTGTCTAGCTTTATAGCTATTTAAATTTATAGCTATTTTATTTTATTTTAATTATTTTTTTAATTTAACTGCTCTTTGTCAGTATTGTTTGAAGTCGGTTCAACTCTTTATTAAAGGATTCATTTGGTCTTTGTTTGTAACCAATACAATTTTTTATATCACGGTCCAAACGATTTTTTTTTGGTTTCCAGGCGTGCTAATTTATGAAATGTTGGTGGGATACCCGCCCTTCTACGATGATAATCCGTTTGGTATCTACGAAAAGATTTTAAATGGCCGCGTGGAGTGGCCTCGGCACTTGGATCCTGTCGCCAAGGACATCATTAAGAAATTACTAGTTCAAGATAGGACCAAAAGGCTTGGCAATATGAAGGTATGTAAACTAAACTATTGATTTTTGAATAGAGAATAAGGTTAAGAGATATATTTCTACTGAAGTCTCGCAATTTCATTCCACTTTATTTTCAAACCAAATTATACCAAAAAAGTATTTTGTATTTGTTATCTAATATCCAAATAATTTGTACTCTCTAATTCTATTTTCTTAATAATAAAAAAAGGTTTGGTTAAATTCCCTTTTTGCAACCACCATGCCATGTTAAAAAAGTTTTTTGATATGATACTTCTAAATCTAGTTCTGATGGAAAGACTTATTTCTAGAGTCATTTTGTTTTAATGTAACCCGTACAACAAAGAATACTGATCATCGAGGATTGTAATACACCCTTTGTTTTATAGTTAACATATTTATAATTACAATTTAATGGTATACATATGTCTCGTACAAGCGATGTAAGGGAGTAAGAAGATTTATATTAATTATGTAAGTTTATTATTCTATGTAAGTCTTATCTTATGTGATAAAGACATACGTGTAAACACCCACAGTATATATATACGTTAAACCTATTTTTAGTGGAAACAACACACCGCTTTCTCCACCTATAAACACAAGCGTGGGTTTAATAGTGTCGATTAAAAATCAAAACGGCAATCTTGGATGGAGTTTGTCATTGGCCCTCTCTTACTTACTACTTATTTATTTTCAATACTGTGTGCTTAATCGCTATTCGGACAATTGTGATAATTTAAAATAAATAAATGCCGTAATCTAGTTAAATATTCTTAACTCATATACTTATCAACAAAGATCATTTAATTTTCATTTAGATGTTTAAGTATCAATCTCCCTCTACGAGTTGGAAATAATTTTTAAATACAATGGTTATTTTTACTATGTAATAAATGATAAATTGTCATATCAGGGTATGTCAGATGTTAACTGAAATTTTTTACAAGTAATACAGTGATTAGGCTCGACAATAGGGTACTTTGCACTAATCTGCCAAATGAGTACATTTGCGAACTCAGCGTATATAAGACTTATTTTATTTGCCATGTGAATATTATGGCTTTGGTTTATTAGTCATTAGTACTTAACAATTATAGTCGATATGACATGACGCAAAGGGTCATTTTCGGTTCCTGTAACAACGCTCACGCATTCTATTTCCACATTATTGACACTGCATGCTACGTTTTTTGTACAGTTAGCGTTGAAAATAGCGTAATAGACTGAAATTTTATGAAAATTGTAATGTGTTTAAAGATAATTCTCGTACTGACATGACAAGTTGATTATTTTATGAATAGTATTTCTTGAAAATAAACAGAATATTATCGTATTGTGACATCAAATTAAAGAATAGTAGATTTTACTTTTCAATACAGAATGTTTTTTTTTATCCTCAGTGGGTAAGATTGAATTTGTCTTTATTTCAGATCTAGTACCATTTTCGTTGATGACAGTACGGCACGTGCGTTTGCACATGAACCTATTAGTCCAGTTAGTACCAATTAGATTTTTCAAACAGCTTCTTTTCAAACAGTAGTTTTCCACTACTCAGGAACAAAAAAAATTTTCTAGATGAAAGATAGACATAATGTAAGTATACATTGTTAAGATGATCAGAGGAACGTTACAGCAGCGCATAATATACGTATAAACTAACATTGTCTTTTAAAACTTATATTAAAATGCGAATTACTTTGTCAATGACATTGTAAAATGGAACTAGAAATCTACGAAGAAAACTAATAGATGTTGAATAAATTATGGTGTCTCAGTATTCCTTGTTTATGAGCTTTAATTTTGATACTAACTCAACTTGATTTATCAATCTCTTACGTAAATACACCTGTTTGTACGTAAAAGTCAGATATTGCGACTGAATTTTTATGTTTGAATACTTTACTCTTTTGGTGATGTTTACAATATAACAAGGTGGTGAAAGCTTTCTAACTACATAATTATGTCTATGGCATTTGAATCTTATTATAATTTCACTTTAGGAGTACTACAGACCCCTATTGATGAGTTTCTGTAACTGACAATGAAGGACCTAGACTGACAATGGAAGAATTAGATTTTCTTAATACAATATTTTTTAACAGGTCATTCGTAAGAAGCACACTTGGTTTTCCTTTAAAATTGTAAAGTTCTTATCGGTTCTTATATAATCTCTTAGTACTTAAAAGAAAAAGTGCATATGAGCGAACCAAGAGGCACCATCTAAGATTGATTTCTTAGTCTATTTAAAAAATAGGTACCATACCAATAAAAAAATAGACATTACAAGACATCGTTGTCAGTTCAGTTATAAAACATATGTATTATTCAGAATACAACATTGCAATTTGAGTAAACATACCAGCCAGCAATGTGTACGCAAAATTGAAAATAGCCTTGCGCTTGACCGGTTTCAGTAACAGTTTTAGAAGGCCGACACTCCTAGCTAAATTAATTAAAACTATAATTATGACTTTGTAAAGATTGTTTTTGTTCATTATGATGTAAAAAACGCAAAGCTCGCTTGATAGTTAACATGTATAGAATCCAAACTGGAAAAATTTAATGCGAGCAGATATCACCACACCGCCCTTTATCTTTAAGGATGTAGGACATAGTAAGTCGCTACTAAATTTAGAGTTGGTCGAATGTAAAAGGACGTGTGTATCTGTGCGTCTGTAGAATTGTTTTTTATTGGATGGCTGATGGATGTTCGAAGATCTCAATTCTAGTCGTTGAAGGGATTTATGAGTTCGGGGTATTTTCACTTTTTTATTTAAGGTCGTATCCTTTAGGACATATGTTAATGTCACCGTCAGGGTCACAAGATATCATAGGCCCCGGTAATGATTTACTATCAGCTGGGTGATGAGCTCACTAACCAATTTAGTTGCATTAAAATTGATGAGACTGGGCAATCAGACGTTTTCTTAATAAGACGTATTCTTAACAAATACACTATACAACCTGGCTGCATTATTTATATACTTATATATAAATAATGCAGCCAGGTTACGTTTTAAAATTCTCGTTAGTCATTTTATTTAATTCAAGTGGGTTGTGTCCAAAAAGAAAAATAATGTGGCTTTTGAAGTTGGCTGTATTCCAACCGAGTTCCATATATAAGTTCTAATCTAACACTTGTCACTTTGTATGTAAAATATTTCTTGAAATACTGTATTGTTTTGGTTTTTAAAGCCAATATTAGCTACATATTTTAGGTGTCAATGAAAGAAATATAGACTAAGAAAAAATATATTACATCTTTAGAACAGAGGATATTGCGTAACGCATAGAATAAAAATAAATGAATGCATAATTTACAGACGATTTATTTATGATATCGATATAAAAAATCTTGGAGCTACCTCAAAAGCCATTTTTTTTAATAATAAAGTATATGAAGATTGATACTAGTTTTTAGAAAATTGAGCATTGCTAATTACTATTTTATTTATCAACATAATTTGTTAATTGTTTTATTAGAGCTGAAGTTAATAAAAACCGGGATCTATTTCTTCAGCAATTGTTACTTTATTGCTTCTAATATATTAAACTAAGCAGACAGAGAATTTTTCTTTACAATTCAGTTTTTTAAGAAACTTTATAGGTACCCGGTGTTACTAAAAATTATGTAAAATAATTGATATAATCTAATCTTATTTAAAACTAGCTTAGACCCGCGGTGTTGCCCGCGTTTGTTGTTATAACCGCGGGCAACGCCGCGGGGCGAAGCTAGTCTAAAAAAAGTAGCCTAAGTTACTCCTTATGTCATCAGCTATCTGCCAGTGAAAGTCCCGTCGACATCGGTCCAGCCGTTCCGGAGATTACCCGGAACAGACAGACAGACAAAAATTGTAAAAAATGTTATTTTGGCATATGCACCGTGTAAACGTACATATGCATTTAGTAAAAAGCGGTTATTTTAATATTACAAACAGACACTCCAATTTTATTTATTTGTATAGATATCTACCGCGGTCGGGAGTTTTTAATCAATACTCGTACTTTTTCTTGGCTCACAGTCTTTGTCCTACTCTGTTACTAAAACGGAATTCAGTAAAATGAAGAGCCTGTGTGATAGGTCAGGGGTCAATATGATAGGTGCCGGATTAGAGTTGCCCTACTCTTTCTTATATATAGTTACATATATAGCCTAACACTGATAAACGGGCCAAACACTGCTTGCATAGCGTATAGTTACGTAGATTACTTATTATAGTAGCAGATAATACCAGAACAAAAGTCAGAAACAGGACATAAGAAGGACGATTCAGTCATACAATAATAAATGATAGTGCTAAGTGCCTAGATTCCTCAACATAAACTACATTTTATGTCGACGAATCTAGGCACTCATTAATTCGATTGAATTAAATAATTCGCTTTTTTGAACAGTCTGTTGTATTTAGAAAGTTTTAAAACTTGTTCCGATATTTTAATGCTAGGTGTTGTTGGGGTTCAATTTGATCAAAAATTGGTACATTCACGTTCGTACATATTCGTATACCTCTCACCTATAATAATATATTCACAATACAATGTTTGCTTTTTCTTACATGTGATAATCTATAAAAAGCAGTCTACAATGTAGACGCCTAAGTACAAAATGTTATTAATATCCCTTACTATATTCTATGCGGTCATGGTTAAATCCAATGGGATGCGGCGTGAAGAAAGTGTCAGTAACTATCACGAAGCGAATTTATTTTTAAACGGCTGCAGTTAGTGGTTGGTTGTTTTCACTGAGCTTTTTGCCACGATGTCTCCAAGATGTTTAGAAAGCCATCAGTCAGGTAGCTAGTGGCGACATCAAACGACTGTGCCGGCACTGACTTATGTCTCGACGTAAATACACCACATTACCAACATACTCGCCGCCGGCCGGTAGGTATGTACAAGTATGTGCTAGAAAACTCGTATTCTATATGGAGCAGTTATGTTAGTATCACACTCTAATATGCAGAATTAGGCATTTTCTATTAGTTTCGGGATTTCCTCCACGTCTTCATTTAGTTATATTCTTAACCATAAAATTTTATTATATTTTTATATTACAAAGACATTTAGAATTAGTATAAAGTCGTTCATGATTATAGGTCTTTACTAATAAAGTTGGAGCTTTTTAAAACCAGCATTTTCAGATTAAATAATCTGTGGATTGGCGTGCAATTCGAAGTCTAAGTAAATTTTAGTCGAAAGCCATGTGAAAGTTATTGCTCTTAGCAATGAGGCTGCCCTTAGATTGACATAATTGACTTGTAAAAAGTGTGTATAAATAAAGAGTTTTCTATCTATCTACATAATAAATATATCTAGGCAGTATTAAAAAATGAGCTGTTAAAACTAACCTATACCTAAATGTTGTCCGTGTGGTGACGAATTAAGAATACGAAGTAACACCCCCTATTCATCCCGTGGGTGTGGTTAAAGGCGACTAAGGGAGCAAACTATGCAGGAAAACACCCCTGCAAAAAGAAGTAAAACTTGAAATAAACCCTATAGCCAGCGTGGTATAGTAGGCCAAAACCTCCTTTCTAAGGAGAGGCCTATGTTCAGCAGTGGACTGTTAAAGGCTGTTGATGATGATGATGATACCTTTAATTATGTCAGAGGGCTCGGACTTTTCGAAAGTAGCCAATCGGAGTTACAGCTATTCGACTCTGACTAGCTCAAGCTATTGTTTTCATTTCTCAATCTATCCGTATTAGCAATATCCCTTTCTTAGTATTGACAATGTTCCCATCTTATTCCTAGAAGTACCCAGTGGTTGGCAATGGGCTTGCGCCCTTCCTTGATATAGGCGTGTATGGTGTTGTAACTGTGTTGTACTGCAAGGTTTTCTAACATTAAAATAATATTTCTACAATACTATGATGATTTATAAGCGAATGGCCGGCTTGGCATCGCGTTGTACTAAAATAAATTAAGTTCGGATACGCTTCAGTAACTCTAAAGCTCAAAATTTACGATGTCTAAGCGTTGAAGAACGTCGCGAATGCTAATAATATCAAAGTTGCTCTAATTTTGGCCATCCACAAATGCGTATTGTTGTAGTTATATTCAATACTGTATGATCAATTGTTATGTCGTACTCAAACTGGTATTAATAACAAAAACTGAACGATCTAACCATTCGACATCTACGAAAGGTTAACATCTTTTCCCAAATACTCTTTATATTCTAAAATGTGATGAAGTTTAACGTGTTGAGTATCATCATCATCAACAGCCTTTACTAGTCCACTGCTGGACATAGACCTCTCCTTAGAAAGGAAGTTTGGCTTACTATACCACGCTGGCCAGACGGGTTCGTATAGGGTTTGTTTCAAGTTTTCCTACTCTTTGCAGTGCTGTTGTCCTGCGTAGTTTACTCGCTTAGTCGGCTCTTACGACACCCACGGGATGAATTTACGGGTTATTAATATTATTGTAATAGTATTAGAAGTTACCCCTATACTGTTATTTTTCCTCGTATTAGACTGTTCACATTAAAATAATCACTTGATTAAATATTTTTGATAGTGATTGTATATAATTCAGTACGTTTTTAATAATTTATATGTACATAATATGTTTTTTTATAGTGTGGAACGGAAGACGTCAAGCGGCACCGATGGTTTAAGCACATAGACTGGGCGGATGTCTTCATGAAAAAGCTACAGGTACTAATATTTGAGTAGCCAATTTTATTTTAGTGTTATTATAAATATTTTATTATTATAACAGAGTATATTTTTTATTGTAACTTTGAAATTGTCGAAATGTCAGGCAATTCAAATGTATATGTTTTACAATTAAATATAAAATCCTTATTGATGACATGAGCTCTAACTATTTATTTGAAACGGTATTCTGCTAAATAATCAGGGGATTCTTTCATGTTAGCAAAGTTCACAGAGAACTTTTATAGAGAAACAAAAAGGATTTATGTTCTATTCCCGAGCAATAAAAAATAACCCTATGCGAGCGAAACCGAGGCCAAAAGCGAGATAATTATTTTGAGTTATAGTTTTTTTTTTTATAATGTTTCTTTGTTGAACTGAAAAATTGTCCTTTCTCTGTTATTTGCTTCATCAAAGCACTAATCAAAGCACTTGTGTTATGTGAACTTACCATTTGACAATTATTGTAGTATTGTAGTTTTCAGACCAAGTAATTAAAATGTCCCATTTAAAATATATGTTGAGCAACACTACAGAGATTTAAGATTTATTTAAGAGCTGATGTTAATCGGTTCATGAGGTCGGCCAAGTTGGGCATAGTTTTGATAACCTGATTTCGTTTATTACGTTTTAATGTATTCGTAGTTATTGTTTTCGCCACAATTACTTGTTTCTTTAAAAAATACAATGACGGATAAGAATAGCGTACTTTCGACTTTGCAAAAGTAATAGCCAACTATTACTTTTGATGTCATGGAAAAAATTTGTAAAAATAATTCTAACTGGCTTTCAAGAAGGTCAGGTACTGTTTAGAATCAACACGAAAATGAAATGATTTTTGATAGTATGACAATAATTTCAAGAAGGATTTAGAAAATTTTGTCAGAAATAATGATCAACACTACTGACTTACATTTTATTGTTGACACTAATATGTATATAGGCGAACAACAATTGTTTTAAAGTACTATTGAGCCTGTGGTATGCAATGGTCTCGATTTGTTACCAAGTTCTGAAGCCTGTGTTCAATCTGATTTTCCATGTGGCACAAAGAAACTTAAATTCACAATTTTATTCTTTTTTTACAGCCACCAATCTTACCGGCAGTGTCATATGAAGGCGACACTTCAAACTTTGACGAGTACCCCGAGACTGACTGGAAGGCAGTACGTTCACTCGATTCCGATGAACTTAAGTTGTTCGCTAACTTTTGATGACCTAAGTAAATGTGGAAGGTCGAAAATAAAATAATAGTCAAATACGAGGCTGAAAAGCCGCTAAGTAATGAGAACTTATACGTAACATGTAAAATATAAATGTATCGATTTTTGTTACTGATGCCAAGAATTTTTATGGAGTGTCAATGAAAACCGTCCGCATATTTGGAATAGTATAGGGAAATTCATGTTTAAGTCAGTTGTCAGAAGTTGAAGCAGATAAAGATTATATAAGATAGAGTGAACCTAATAAACAAACCTACTGAAGTTTTAAATTTTACTTATCATTAAATAATAAATATTACTTTAGTGGCATAATTCGTCATGTCTCTACAGTGAGATCTTGGATTCAGTTTAAATCAGTTGTCTAGAAATAAATTAGCACTTAATATATAAATAAATTAGATAAAAAAGAATTGTTTAACGTTGGTCTTAGATGAATTAATATTTATAAATTAATTCTCACCTAAAATTATGCAGCACGAGTGGCCCTGTTTTGATTTACTAACTAAATATAAAGAGTAGAAGTGCATTTTAGATTAAAGTGTAGGTTACCTATTTGAATTTCAAACTAGACTTCTTAAAATTGTGCTGTTTTTGGATGATTTGTACTTAAATAAAAAGTCAAAAGAATAGTAGGTAGAAATATAAATGTTTTAAATACTATTGGTAAACGATGTTACAGTGTATATTCATATTCTGATTTCGAAAAAAGAATTTCCATGCTAAACGCTTTTGAAGGTGCGCATTTAAAGAATTATTTTGAATAGAATTTGATATTTGTAATTAAAAACAAATCGATTTTCATCAACCACACGGTTTTTGGTACACCGATAATATGTTAGAAAATGTAAATATTTATTTTTAAGTTTATGCATTACATTTCCAATGCTTTCTAGTTCAAATGTATAGATGTAAGGGATTAGAATAGGGTGTCGATGACAAATAATGTTTGTGATTTTGAAATATTATAACATAGTATTTTCTTTTAACTTATCATATAGAAATGTGTAATAAAATACGAAAATTATTGAAAGATTCCGATGCCATCTAGTGAGTCAAATTTTAAACAGTAAGTTATACCATAAAGTTATTTATATTACCTTTCTTGAATTAAAGATCTCACAAATGTTGATTACACAAAAAAGTATAAAAAAGTGACTATTGTAGTTAAGTATCACTATTTATTCACATAATTAAGTATATTTGTGTCACTCTAACTCATATAGGCCATACATTGTTTCTGTGATCTTTTTGTCTTGAGAAAGCCATGTTTACGACTTTCATTAATATTGCGATGTCGTGTCATAATCAATGCAGGCAGTAATTTAACATATTTAGTTGATGATGTATGAGTTGGTTGAGTAAATCCGATTTGAGAAAATTCAATTTAGATGATGAGACTTAAGCTGGGGTTTGTGTGCCTAGTGTTTTTGTAAATTTTGATTGGATGTCTATGTTTTCTGGAATCGGAAATGATCAACTGTTAAAACAACTAATCTAACAGGGTTGTAGATAAAAATAAGTATAAAATTGTAAATAAGCAAAAATCTATGTGTTGTTTTAAAAAGGTCTCGTGTTTTATTTACCGTACCTATTTAAACAAAAATATCATATCCATTTATTTTTTTAATTATTGACAGGGACTAAACTTTGAATTATATATAATAAGAATAAAAATAACAATAACAAAAATCAAAACGCTTTATTACATCAACGCGAATTAGGACGAACTGAATTAGTTTTGCAAAAATGCCTATAACCCGGCAAACTCGTGCGCGACCGTCCCGCGGGGTGACAGACAGTGGCGGGGGCGAGGTAGCGCGTCATTCTAGCACACGGCTACACACGATTCCCTTCCCCGCTACACCACCCGCTACCCGCTGACATCTTGAGTACCTCGTTCCCGCCACCGTCTGTCACCCCGCAGGAAGGTCGCGCACGACGTTGCCGGACTATACTAAGTCTACATGCTGTTTCAAAATGTCTCAGACCTTGACATACTGATGTCGATATAGATTGAGGAGCCACTTCAGATTTTAAACGGAAACTCAGCCCTTACTTAGTAGGTGAGCAAATAGTTTTGTAGGACAAATCCTGAAATTTGTAGTAAGATTTATCCAAAGTTATAACAATGTAAAAGTGGCTACTCAATCCAAACATCTGAATTAAGACGCCAGCTGAAACACGGAAAGTATTTAATGAATATATTTGAAAATTTTCCATCATAGTAGTTGATGTTCAAGAATATACAATACTTTGTGCTATACTACTGTACTTTTGTGCAATAATGTGGCTCCTCAATCTATATAAGTACTAGCTGACCCGGCAAACGTTGTTTTGCCATAAACATTATTTCTAGGAATGGAATAAAATTTAGAGATGGGTCACCCTTGTCATTTAGGGGTATGAAAAATAGATGTTGGCTGATTCTCAGACCTACCCGATGTGCACACAAAATATCATAAAAATCAGTCCAGCCGTTTCGGAGGAGTATGGTAACTAACATTGTGACACGAGAATTTTATATATTAGATAAGAGCGTGAATTACCATGACAGTAATAGGTCAAAATTTATATTGTCTGTTGGTCTAGTGGTTAGTGACCCTGACTGCTAAACCGGAGGTCGTGGGTTCGATTCCCACCCAGGAAAAAAATTGTGTGATGAGCACGGTCATTTGTTCTGTGTCTGCGTGTAATTTTTCTATAAATAAATAAATATGTATCTATTTAAAAAAATATATAAGTATGTTTATCAGCAGTCTATTTACCATAGCACAGGCTCTGACCATTTTGGGATCAGACGGCCGTGTGTGAGATGTGTGAGATATATTATTATTATTCTTTTTATTTTCCACCGCTAGCTGTGGTGACCGTTTAGAGCACTACGTTATCCGTGCAGTTTTTTTCAAGTTTGTTACTTCAGAACTCTTTCATTTAGAAAAGGATTTAGAAAGTTCATAAACTCATTGGACTAGGATCTAATAAAAATGTAAGTGAGATTCTTCCCATCGTACAGAGCTCTCCAATTCTGTCGAAAGGTCACATTTGTTTTACTCGTTCGTTCGTACTGATAAAATTGTCCTCGATCTTTGATATGGTATAAAGCTCGACCATATTTAATGATAGAGCACAAGTAATAGAGACCATGGCAGTCGTTTAGATTGTTTTAACAAGAAGTAATTAGTAGCCAATGTCAAAAGTATTTGGGAAGTCATGCAACATCTTAATTTTAAAATATAGATAGAAAATATAGGTATTCATCCAATAAGTGAACGTTGACAAATAATCTGTTGATATGTGATAATAAACAATAGTTTGATAACATGGTCGGGATTATGAAAAAGATAACAAAACAAAGATAATACCTATTACGAAATACCATATCAATCCTCGTAGAGTAGTGCTGGTATTTTGTGCGGCAGAACGTATTTTGCGTGACAATGTCTGTTAGACCATTAACACCTGCCCTTGCAGAAAAGGCTCGCGTGGAATTAAACGAGGATCCAAAAAGGCTGAAAGATGATATTCAAAGCATTAAGGACTGGCTTAGCAAACAGCCTCATCTAGTTGCCAGAACAGGTTGGTAACAAAATTTCTATTTTTAATTTTCAGAACGACTGAATAATTATGATAAACTGTGTATACTGATACTAATCTCCAATTTGTTCACCTAAGGCGCAAGCAATAGCTAGATTTAAGAAAATGGTTCTCGAACTTAATTGATTTCAATTAAATCATTTACTTATTAAGGTAGGCTTTTTTGGTTCTTTTTAAAAAAAGACAACTCCCGCATGAGAAATACTTTACAAACATACATGAAACGGACACAAAGAACACCCAGACTCAGAACAACAATTTATTAATCACACGAAGTGTCGTCCCATGTGGGGATCGAACTCACAACTCTTACCGTAGGAGGAAGCGGCGTCGCAACCGCTTAAACAGCTAGCTAGGATTTATATGTCTTTTTATATTTAAAATACTAAAGTAGTTATATTTAGGTTTGAACATATAAGTGTATCAGTGGGTACGTGTTTGACTATATTTTTATATGTACATATATATTTTTAATTTTATTTATTATTTAATTCATTAGCACAAATATTTTCTAAACACAAATACACCTTTAACTACTACTGTCTCGACATAACATTTTGATCCATCCAGGTTGCCTGGAAGAGATTGCATTTAGCAAAGAATGTCTTGAATGATGGTCTTAACTGTGCCACAACTTTATTTTCTCAGAACAATCAAGAGCGTCGTGTTTACAAATTGCCATTGCCTACTGTCAAAGCAAGTTTTGCTTGAAGTTTTAGTCCATACAAAGATTTCTATACACATAACAGAATCACAAAGCTTTGCGATTTAACGCTATGTTCTGTAAGGGAGGCTGTAATGGTTGCTTTCTTTGTCACACGTGGCCCGAACATTGCGCATTTTCTTTAAAAATAATTTATTATATAACACGCATAACATATAAAATACCCTACACCAACATACTATCATACACACATTTATTTATTTTTATCCTTCTAATATAATATCTATAAAATAACTTCATGCGGCGTATTTACTAAACATGGTATATTTAATCATTTTTTTTGTCGTTGCTAACTCAGTTAGAAAAAGAAAACTATTACTGTCTCAATTATAAGCAAGTAACACTGCATATTTTAAGTTAAAAACGACGATGTAATGTATAGCGAACAAAAATGTATAGCGTAATGTGTAATCGCAACTAGCACCCACAGGACAAGCTTGCCTAGTGTGGGGCCACCGGCAATGTATCACATATTTTGATGATGATGACGAATAAGCCATACTTTGTGTTAATATATTTCTAAGTTTTGTATGTAAGATACCACTTTCGTAAAAATGAAGAGTTTTCTATTCATCTATTTAAGTTTAACCATCGTGTGGTAAGACCGTCTACGGGATGATGAGGATTCGACAGGAGTAGCCTTCGTTCAAAGTTGCCTTTACTTTTAGTTTAAATAGGTCTCGGATCCTTAGGGATGAAGGGTAATAAAAAGGATCCATCTAGAACAAAGCTATAGCTTGAAACCGGAAGAATTGTCTAAAAAACTGTGAATTATATTTGTAGATGAAGGCCAGTTTGAAAAAACTATGTACCAATTCTTAATCGAATTTTAGCAAATTTTGGGCGATGAAGAAAGATGTGGTGGTTCTTTAACAGCTGTTATGGCAGGAAATGTTTCAGACATAAAAAACATGGAAGAGAATAGGCGAATCACGTATAAATTGTTGTGTCAGGTTGTTCGGTACGATAAAATGTTGTGAATGTTAGAAGCAGTCTCAGGTGGAAAGGCGCCATGATGCGAAAGTTAAGTTTAGTGAAGATTTGTCGAGCTCAGAATCGTATTCCGAATTAACCTTAAATCGATTAACTGTTTGCTGAAAACACCCTTCGTTCGGACGAAGGGTGTTTTCAGCAAACGTTTTTATAAGATTTATATGATGCAGAAGCTCATTAAGTATCAGTTTTGCTCTTAAAATAGAACAAGGCCTACCTATGTATAACAATCGAATAGTACGGAGAGGATTCTGTTCGGTAGTTTCTTAAATGACAACATATCTGGTGTTAAGACCATGTGTGTCTTAATGTAGTGTTACTATGATTTCAGATGACCAATGGTTAGTGGCTTTCCTTCGTGGCTGCAAGTTTAGTTTAGAAAAGACTAAAGAAAAAATAGACTTGTTCTATTCTCTTCGACAACTTGCACCTGACATGCATAACATTAAACATACAGATCCTATTTTTGAAGAAATTCTGAGCCTCGGGTGAGTTATTAATTTTTTGTGCATATTGATGTTGACTAGAACGTACTGATTATTTCTAAAAATCAAACATGTTTAAAGTAAAATATATTGTGTAACAGCAAGCTAGAAGTGGCAGTCGTCGTTAGCGATAATTGTTTTATTTGAACTTTGTTATGCACACACATCAACAGCCTTTAATAGTCCACTACTAGACATAGGCCTCTCCTTAGAAAATATAATGATAATATAATAAATGTTATGCAAAATGTAGTAATTAAGGGCATAAGTTAATTACAAAGGACGCGTATACTATTAGAAAATATAAGTTTTACCTTTCATTTTTATTGTTTAATTGGATTTGTGAACAATGATCAAGATTTTTGTACTAGTCGAGATTTACACTTACTTTAGATATTTTCTTTAGATCTTTTGTGATGTTGCCAAAAGTCGGCGGACCTGATGCAACTAGGATCACTTTGGTACGGCCAGGGAGATACGATCCTGACAAGTATAACATTTTGCAAGTAATAGCAGTAACAAATATACTTATGAAGGTACATAACCTATTATTATAATTTCTATTGTTAAAAATTACCGTAGGTAAACCTATCTAACTTCAAGTAAAAGGGATTCAAATCCAGGAAAGTGTTTATCCATTCCGAAAATATTCTTTAATAAAGTGTTTGTAAAAAAAAAAACCTACATTTCAGATTATAATGATGAACGACGACCACTCTACAGTTGCCGGTTGTTCAACAATCATAGATCTGGAAGGGGTAACGATGGGACACTTTCTACAAATGACCCCAATGTCAATGAAAAAAATGGTAGTAATAGGGCAGGTGAGTAAATTTTCGGTTGAATCGTTTCTGCTCAACACTGGTTGTAGTTTTCAGCTGCCACAAATATTATATGTATATATGCTGTACTGCGGTGCCAGAGCTGTATGCCGGAAATCCGCTTTACCCAAAAATGAATCCTTCCTATCGTGTTGAAGACGTGTGCTCCAGAATTGGCACCGGTTTTAACGCGCCTTTTTCGACTCTCCAACTTACCAGGTGTCATCCCATATTCCTGGAAGGAGCGTTTGTGCACCGGATCCCTAAAAAATCCGTAATCAGCTGCCAGCTCCTCCGGTACTGAGAAAATCAACAGCTACTCAATGACCGACAATATGGTTTTCGCCGGGGTCGCTCAGTGGGTACAAGCGATCAAGACCAAGGGAGAGGCTTGTGCGGTTAGCTTCGACATAGCGAAGGCCTTCGATCAGTTCTGGCATAAGACGCTTCTCTCAAAGCTCCCTTCCTATAGGCTTCCCAAGAAATTATGTAACTGGGTCACCAGTTTCCTTGCATTAAGGTCGTTATCGACGATGCATCCTCCGACTTGAAATATGTAAATGCTGGTGTCCCGCAAGGCTGTGTGCTATCACCCACACTGTTTCTTCTGCATATCAATGTAATGTTGCAAATTAGTAGCATCCATTGCTATGCGAATGGTAGTACGGGAGATGCCTTTTATATCGGCTGCCCAAATATTTATCGGGAAAACGTAATCGATAGTCGAAACAAACACCTGTCTGAAATTGGGAGCAAACCCTGCAGGACAACAGCACTGGAAAGAGAAGGAAAACGTGAAACAAACGCTATAACAACCCAAAACCTCCTTGTTAAGGAGATACCTATGTCTAGCAGTGGATTATTAAAGGCTGTTGATAATGATGGTGATGATATCACCTCGGTTTGAGAGCACCTATCTAACTACGGTCTACCATTAACTTCTGATTAATTTCGTTGCGGTCTCCGGGACAGTTTAACTTTTCCTGAGATTACCCGAGTGTCATAACTCGGGTGTGTTCGTGGGTCACAGCTGTTGATCCTGATATACAGGAGTTACAGTTGTGGGCGTATGGCAGGGATATTATTATATTCTTCCTATTGCAGCCTATAGTCAGTAGCTTGTCCTTTAACTTGTTGCTCTGAATCTACTTGAGAATCTGCTTAAGAATAGATACTCGACAAATACGCATAATATAAAATATTTTTTACAAAGATAATTAAAATTACAATACAGGTATTTATATTGATATTTTTTAGGATGCGTCACCTTTGCGAATGAAAGGCACCCACTACTTAAACACGCCACCTGGTTTCGAAATTGTTTTTAACGCGATGAAGAGTTTACTTAATGAGAAGAACAAAAACAGAGTAAGTACTTCTTTATCGAAAGCTTTATTTGGTTAAATTGATAAAAATGCAATGTAACATTCAAAAACAGAATATAATAAGTCTGTTGTAAAAAGAGAACTATAACACAAAGATTCTTTATAAACATATTCTGATAAAGTTACTTTAAACTTGGCAATAGTTTGTCGGGGATGGTGATAAAACTTAGCTATTACGTATATACAATTCGGCAAATTATAAATGTATTTTTGAATAAAAGTTTTTAATATGTCGTAGAAATGTTATGTAGTCGTTGATTTTTTATCTTAACAATATTAATTCAGGAAAATGATCTTTCTAGCTTTTCGTGCATAACAAGAATTACGAGGCTTTGTATCAGTATATTCCTAAAGATATCTTACCTGCAGAATACGGAGGCAACGGAGGTACCACAGAAGAAATTATTGGTAATAATCATCTATATTTACATTTTAAATCTGAAAAGTACCACCGTTGTTTACACCCTCTACAAGGATGTTTTCTGACATAAAAACTAGCCTATGTTGTTTCTAGAGACTCGGACGATCTCTGTACCAAATTTCACAAATAAAGTTTCACAAATAAAGGAATAATTCCAAAAAATAAAAAAAGTTGAAAATCAAGATAAATTTTGGTACTTACAAATTTTCGCGAAAATCTACTTAAAATCTGGGTAGGTACGGATCCTTCAGCACACGAGTTGTACTCGTACCTGACCGGGTTTTTGTTAAAAGCAAGGTGTTACAGCACAAGTAAAGGGAAAATTTCAAAAATTAAAAAAAGTTGAAAATTTGTGGTAAATTTTGCTACTTACAAGTTTGTCCAAAAATGTAAATTTAACCATATCTTTTTATTGTGTTGACTGAGGACATTGATATTTTACACCTAATAGAGACTATAGACCTCAGTATCTGGTATAAATGTTAACTTGCTAGGTCCACCCGTTCCTGAGAAAATCGGTGGTGACACACGGACAGACGGACAAGAGAGTGATCTTAAAAGGGTTCTTTTTTTACCTTTTGAGGTACGGAACCCTAAAAATCCCATTAAAATAGGAAGAGCCGTTTCGGATGAGTACGAGCACAAACACAAAGATATTAGATAACTTTAGTCTGCTATAAAAGGCATAGAAATAAAATATATCAGTATCCACGGCAAAGTTAGCTCTAACACATCAAACACAAAAAAATTGGAATACTACTTGTATAAGGAATATATGGGTTACAAAAATTATAAGCACAAATCTATTAGCTATATTAAATCATTTACGTGTTACAGACTACTGGAGAAGCAAAGTGAAGGAATATAGTTCATTCTTAGAAGAGGATCAGAAATACGGTGCTGATGAGTCGAAGCGTCTTGGCAAACCAAAGACATCAGAGGATATGTTCGGCGTAGAGGGTTCTTTTAGGAAACTCGATTTTGACTAAAGAATTTACATTATTAAAATGCTTATTTTATACCTAATTTTCTAATAAGAATACATTCAAACATTGTGTAGTATTATTTATTTTTCTATAGGATAACTCTATAGTCAAAAGAAGAGCAAGACTAATTTTTAAGTTTTTTAATTTTAGACTAAGACTTAAAAGCCTTGTAAAAGTTGTAAATTTTCTTCTGAGTAAGCATTAATATCAAGTAGAGGCACCCATAGTTATTTATCTTTTACACATATCATCATCATTATCAGCCTAGCCTAGCCTAGCATATGCCATTCACTACTAAACGAAGACCTCCCCGAAGGAGCATCAACTTTCCCGGTCTGGGGCAGTCTGCATCTATCTGGCAGCCATTTTCCATATTTTCTCACCACTGCGGTCACCACCCCGAGCCATTACGAGGCCCCGGGCTAGTATCTCGTAGTGAGGCCCTTGTCTTTGTGGAATTAGTTTTAATGATGATACTTGGAACAAAAAATGCAACGCACAATATACCGCTGATAAAACAAAAAAACATAAGTCGACGACAGTTGACAAGCCACGAGTGTAGAAGCCACATAAAATGACAAGCGAAATAAGACACGGAGAATCCCTGAACGCAAATCGAGTGCGAGTAACGTGACGTTAGTTTTATAATGCGCTAAATTAAAAAAAACAGATCTTTCTGCTTGGGTTCTTGAGCGAGTGCGCGAGGCCCCTGCATGACTAAGGCCCTGGGTATTCTACAGTATGATTGATCATTGGATGTTTTAGACTGACCTGTCTGTCTAGTGGTTAGTGATTCTGACAACTGAGTCAGAGAACATAATATGGCTGGGTGAAGTCCAAAGAAGGTGAGTGTAATACAAAGAAAATGCGGCGGTACGCTATATACTCGTAAGTGTAATAAACTAGTGGTACTCTATATTATATCAATCACATCTAATCGAAGATAATTCTTGAGTATCACTCACTTGAGTCAGAGTGCTCAATGTAATTAATTCAGAGTCGTACAAGTTCCTTGTATGGTAGGACGTTACGGCGGAATAAATGTCTATAAGACCTTTACCACCCGCTCTCGCGGAAAAAGCACGCGTAGAATTGAACGAAGACCCAAAAAGGCTAAAGGATGATTTACAAAGTATTAAGGACTGGATTGCTAAGCAGCCTCACCTAAATGCAAGAACAGGTTAGTGCCACTAGTCCACTACCGAGATGACTGAACCTAAATAATTATTATGACGGGTTTAAACAATTATAGAAGTATTTCATAGAAAACGTTTTTAATAAAACTGTCATTATATTACGTTTATTATGTAACACTTAAATACATAATTTAAAAATTGTCTTGACAAATTTTGAGGGTTTAACCACATTATTCAGAGTCAGATACATGATGAAGATATACCATGATGATCCCCGGACGATTTTGATAACGTTCGATACCGCAGTCGCAATTTAGTTTAGCATTTAAATCATGAATATGTGCAATATATAAGACCAAACACAAATTAGCCGTTTGACAATTTTTTTATACTTCCATGTATAAAATGGAGTATTCTTTAAAAAAGAAATATTTCATATATTTTTTTATACCGTATCTTTTGTTGCATACAGCCAGCAAACTTGTCATTTTATCACGCTGGACAAAATGAAGATAAGACTTAAAAAGTTGTAACAGGTTGACACTGGATGGAACACCTTTCTAACTACATAAACCGCGTTATATTTTTAACTCAGTTTTGTTTCAGTAGATACATATGTATAATGAAAAAATTAACAATAATCTATTTATTATTGGTTAAAGAAACTTATTACTTTCAAAAAAAGTAAATAAGGATTCTATCAGTCACAATATAAGCATAAGCTAGATAGCTTTCATAGTACAAGCTCTGCTTAGTTTGAAACTAAAGGGCGTGGTGTGTAAGATGTCCGAAATATCATTATATTATTATTATATTATTTCGTCACGAAATATATTGTAATTTAATCGAATCAAATTTAAACAATTTTATTACTGAGAACTCTGTCATGAGACTTAATGTAAAATATGAGAACATTATTTTCAGTATTAGATCCAATGAATTAAAAATGTATCTATTGGAATTGTCAAGTACATTAAAATGTCTCTCTATACAAGTTAACAAATAAATGAAATGTATATTATATATTTAAATGTATAAATATATATATATGCGGGTGCCGAGTCCATCGCGTGATAGGAGGGGTAACACAGCAGACAGTGGAGGTGAGCGCTTACGCGTGGCAAGGAGTACTCCCTAAGCCTACTCCTGGGTCGCAAGTCTAAGGCACTGTCGCAGTTGCATATGTTACCTCTATTTATGACGCGATGGACCCAGCAAAGAGCTAAGAAATAGGCCTACTTTAATCTTCTTAGTTGAATTTATGATATTTCAATACGAGACAGAAAACACTGCACAGTTGAAATTTATACATATATATGTGTACTCGTATAATTGTATGTACAAATTCTTTCACTATTATGTGTTTAAAATTATCGACCTAGCCAGACTTTGATATAAAAATATGATTGGCATACCAATAAAAAGTACATATACGAGTATGTACAGAGGATCAGTGGTTGGTGGCATTTCTTCGTGGTTGCAAGTATAGTTTAGACAACAAAAGAAAAATTGGAGAACAAGAGAAAAATGTGTCTACAATGCCAGAGATGGATCGTATCAAACATACCGACCCGCTTTTTGACGAAATTCTCAGTCTAGGGTGAGCAGTATAAGTGTTGTAACAATAACTACTGAATTTGAAATATCCTTTCTTCTTCATCCTTTATACATTCAACATCCTAATTACTTCTTCACTTAATAAATCACGCATAAATGTATATGATTTCAAAGGAGCAACTACCAGTATATTCTATGGGTACATTATTTTTAAAGGACATGTAAGGTGTTATTATAATTCATGATAGTTGGGACTAACCACGTCATGGCATCAACATGTTATTAAATTTTTTCAACTTCGTCGTCGCTATACACCAACCAATCTATTTGGTGACATCCAGTAACGAATTTAAATTGTAGAACATTTCCTTAATTGATGACTCTGTGTCATTGCTTTGATTAATATTATAGCATTAAATAGCAGAACGATTTCGTGCGATGTATGTTCTAATTTGAGGACTAAAGAACAAACTATGTCTAGTTTTGGTTTCCAGAAATTCAGGAATACCAGAATATGTTTACTTGTTTTTACTTTGTACTGGGATGAATTTTATTAGTATCACAAATAATAGATTATAAAGCTATCGCCAGGCAAATCGATAGATTTCAACTTAATCTAATAGTTTCATTTTTCAATGATAATCTTAAGTTTTCGTTAATAATTATATTTTCAATGGTGTTCAGGCTTACAATAAATACCATTAATATTATTAATGATACCATTGCACTTCAATGAGTAAGAAATAACGGTAGGTACCTGATGATTTTTCTCTATTTCATTCCCAAATAGTAAGCTCAAAATAAATTCGTACTTAGTTAAAATAATCTTATTGGCTGTAATAGAATCTGTTTGCAATCCTCGTTATTATTAACAGTGTTTCTGTAATGCTACCCAAGACATTAGAACCCAACGCAGCACGTATTAATTTAATGCGACCTAGCAAATATGGTCCTAGCAAGTATGACTTGTTTGATTTCACGAGTGTTAATAACGTGATAATGAAGGTAAGTGATTTTATATAACAATGATCTAATAACGATTGTATTATTTTCACCCCGATTGATGGCAGATTATCAGATTTTATAGCTGATTTAGAGATCTAGGATACTATTCTATATTTTGTACTGCTGTTGCCATTAAATCTTCTAGGGATTATTTTTAAAGAATTGTAACTAATCACGACACAAATCGGGTACAGCATTTTGTTTTTAATAGAGGAGGGGTGCGGAGTTGGACCTATGGTTACCTCAGTCACTCGGTAAATAGGCCGTGATATAAATTTGGCCCAGCTAGCCCACAGTTGTAGTCTTTAGATAATATAGGATTCCAGGATTCAAGGAAAGAAACTTATTTCGTATCAGTATGAAATCCTTATGAACAAGAGTGCATAAGGATTTTCTAGAATCATAAATTTATGCATCAATAATGCACATACAAAAAAAAAACAAACTATGCGGGACAACAGCACTGCAAAGACAAGAAAACCTTGACACAAACTCTATACCAACCAGTCTGGCCAGCGTGGTGTAGTAAGCAAAAACCTCCTTTCTAAGGAGAGGCCTATGTCCAGCAACGGACTGTCAAAGGCTGATAAAAAAAAAACAGTTTTTGTGGATAGTAGTTCAATAATAAAATGTTTTTATTTTTTGTCTATCTATCTAAATTAAGAATCCCCTCATTAGTATCATGTTACCACACTTGCATGGGGTAAGAGTAAAATGCTAACTTTGTCATGTAATGCTAATGTAATGTCGTTAATTTTGTTTTCTATTTTAATTTACCCCAAATATAAGTAATTTTAAAAGTTTTTTTTTTAACTAAAACCGCTTATACAGACATTTCGTAATCGGCCAAAATGATTACATTTTTTCATATCTATTTCCAAAATATAGGAGAAATAAAGTAATAGAACACAGTTAATGGCTGGAAGAGAACTTAAAGTATATTACAGACGAGTCGAAGAATCCTGGAAAACCCAGAACTACAGAGGATATGTTCGGATTAAACGGTTTTTTGACGTGACAACGTCTTGTAATTCGATGGAGCCGGCTGCACGCACGAAAAAACATGACTCATGCGGCGTTACCTCGCTCTGAGGCGTTCCATTTAAGGCGTGAAGTGCAAGCGAGAGCGCTGAACGAGTGACAAAGAGGCACAATCGGCCTCCGCGATCGGCAGCGTTCGACATCTGTCTCTCTCCTACTTGAGTGAGCGATGCGTCCGCGTGGACAGCTGCTACTCGTATACAATAATACATTTTTGAAAAATGCAATCATTCCATCAGTATTTTCTTATGACGTTGTCACGTTCAACTATCGTCAGTAAACCGACTTTACAGACAACCGTTTTTTTTAGACAACTCGAGTTTGATTAAATGATTTAAGAATGTTGTATTTTTAGAATATATAGATATTATTAAATTTTACTTTAGGTATTTATTTAATTATTGTAATTAAAATATTTATTTTACTTCGTTTTTATTGAACGTCTCTAATGATAGAAGTTTCAACGGGAATTTTAATATCATAAATGTAAACCGTAAAAGCTACTGTAATACTGAAAACCAAGTAAATAAATAAAACTGTGTCTTTCAAATGACATTATACATGTTATAAAGATATTCGGGGGTCTAGATATCAAAATATTAATGAGTTTTATGTAAGGTATCATTGAAAAAGCTGTTGATTTTGTTTATGTGGTTTCTGATTTTGATTAGTTTTTAAAAACCAATAAAATACCTTCACAGATAATCAGTGGCTCGTGGCTTTCCTCCGAGGTTGCAAGTATAGCTTGGAGAGAACTAAAGAAAAATTAGACAACTATTATTCAATGCGGACTACGGTTCCAGAGTTAGAGCGTATTAAGTACAGCGATCCGCTTTTTGATGAAGTTTTGAGTTTAGGGTAAGTAACTGTAAGTGCCTTTTAACTATTTTTTAATTTACCTACATCATAAATATTACTTCCAAGTTAATGACATTACTACTACATTACTCAAAAGTTGAAAATATATATGATATATATGACATCAATTAAAATGCTATTTTACATCAGTATTTGATTTACCGTTGCTCAACTGGAACCATATTAATAATATACTTGAATTAGACCATTGAATCGGTCCTTGAGAATATCGTTTGTATAGCTCGGAATTGATTTCGAAATAACGGAGTAATTGTGTTATACGGACTTCACACACCTGTACTACGAATAACATAAGACGGTAAAAGTTTAAAGAAAATTCGTTGTCTTTAATATGTTTTTTAAAACAAAACGAAATTAAGTTAATAAATGGTACTAGGCATAATTAATATCAACACGACGTTGATATAATGGCGGGTTTTGATTTATTCACATTATCACGTTGGTATAAAATGTGCATAAATTTATATACCATTGCCTTCCAGAGTTTCTGTTATATTGCCTAATACATCCGGACCAGATGGACGAAGAATTAATTTGATGCGACCCGGTAAATACGATCCCAACAAATACAATATAATGGACATCATGAGTGTAAATTATACATTGATAAAGGTATGTCATTACTGAATAATTCTTCTCTTTCATTATCTTCTCTTTTAACTGTTTTATCTTTTATTTATTTATATCTGTATTTTTATGCATAACGTATTCTATTTTTATGTACATTCTTTGACTGCGCCATAACATAATCAAATCCATGAGAGTACCTAGTTTACGAAAATCTGTTTATTTACCCTCACATTAGGCAGTCATAAAACCATAGGCGGCCACCGATTTAATTGTGCGGTGAAATCTATATCTCTAAATTAATCGAATCAAATTAAAATAAATAAATTAATATCATTAATTTAAAGTTAGGTACATTATTATTGTAATATGTAGGAATATATATTGTAGCTGGATTAAGTTTAAAAAAAAAGTATAGTTTTAAAAAACTAAAAAAACACGCTTTCTATACAAAACCAAACTAAAAAATAGAAAATAAATTTGAAAAAAAGCGTTGGGTGCCTGTTGTCAATAGTAAAAAGCACCCTACGGTCATCGGTCCTCGATATATATCTACAAAGTTTAAACGAATTCTGACCGTTTAAAGTCAGTGAAAATCACGCCCAAAGGAGACGGTTACAAACAAACATACAAGTGAAGCTGATATAAAGAGTGTAATAAAATAAATTGATGTATTAATTTCAAGTCTAAAGTAGCGTTTACATGTTTTATTGAGTAATTTGTGCATTAGCCGAAGTTGTGTTGGGTATTGACTACAAAATAAGATCAATTTAAGATAGTGGATAGTAAAATACTTTATTTATTTTTGATGTTATGTTGTACCTACATCGTTTAAGTGTTAAATAAAAAAAAAGTAAATAAATCTATATGACTTTTAGCGAACTACAAGTAACGATAACTTTGGTTATAATATGAAGGAGTTATCAAGTTCTCATCCTGAATCCTTGACAAAATAACCCTGTAAAGATCCATAAAACAATTGTGTAATTTAGTAATTTTGAAGGGTCAGGGGTAGACTGTTTTTGGTTCAGGCCGAATATAGTATTGAAATCGTGACAACTCGTGGTAGCGTGACCCTGGCTTGAGAACAGCTAAAATGGTCTTTATTTATTCTCGTTATGTGATGATAGTATTTTTTAAAGTTTCACTCGCACTGATGTAATTACTTACTTTTTTCAATAAATTTCAATGAAAACTACAGATGGTAAGAGGCAGGTCTTACCATCTGTAGTTTTTCTTGTTCAAAATTATCGTTAATCAAGATTTTCATAATAATTCATCAACAGCCTTTACTAGTCCACTGCTCAATATAGGCCTCTCCTTAGAAAAGAGTTTTGGTCTACTATACCACGCGGGCCAGATGGGTATTTCATAATGATTGCTTTAACATAATAATATATTTTATAATGTTAGGATTAGGATACAAATATTCGACGTTTCATTTTAGACCGATTGTTTTAGATACTTCTGGTGGACGATGATCACATGACTGTGTCTGGTATTGAAAGTATCGGCGACATGGAAGGACTTTCCTTAGGGCATTTTCTTCAAATGACACCAGTAGTCATAAAGAAACTGGTTGCCGCGGGACAGGTGAATTTTGTTTTTTTTTTAAGAAAATAACAAATATACAATACACTTTAATGTAAATGTTCAACTTAATGAAATATGTTTAACATGTTTCATGGTAAGATTAAATCCCTGCTAATGGTAGCCTGCTATAAGAGCACTATCTCTAGTATGAGACCTTATTATTATAGACTTAAATATAGACAACCAAATACCTGCACGAGTCTTCCACTCGCCTGGATCATCTATGGCGGAGTTTTATATTCCCTCTTCAATAGAATCCTTTCACTGATTTTTGTTTTATTAGAGTGCATCGGTTGCATTAATAAAATCGAATAAAGAAAATCGTAGAACTTCTAAGATTTTCTTTATATTATGATGATGATTATATTCAATAGATAATTCAGAAATTAATAAAATGAATGGTTTAAATTTAAGGATTGTTGATGAGGTTCCATCGAAAATCTTAAAGGTTAAGTCATTCCAATTCTCCCATACACTTATTAAAGTTTTTTTGCGAAGCAATGAGAAAGTGATGCACTACTTGAAATTTGTAGCCTTCTATGGAGTCTTACAGTAGTTTTTAGTTAGGCAGCCGTACTACCGAGTGATGTTTAATATAGCAGGCAGGTATATGATGACACTGAGACAAGGGAGTTAGTTATGAATGGACAAATGATGTTGTTTGTTTTTGTTGACGGGGTGGAAAATCCTTTTGGATCTCCGACTCCTAGAGGACGCACGAGCCAGGAGTATGTGGTGTTTCCACTAAAAACCACCATCACCCCGACGGCCGGCCTCAGGTGCCCTGCTCTGGGGAGGAACCGGACCATGTAATTTCAGGCCCCCCTCCCTCAGGTCGATGACGCGCTGCACCTACTAAGCTCTATTCCAAGGAAAGTCTTGCGACCCGATCGAATTTTGATGCAATCAGGCCGCCAATATGTCCCTTACCTGTAGTGCTCCAGCCCTCCTCACCCACCAGCATGGCAGCAATGATTGCTGGCGGGGACAGTCTTCCAGCGTATGCTGGTCGGACTCCCAGTCTGCTGCGCAATGCTGGAATTGTGTCGTCACTTCGCGTCCGATCCGATTTAGGTACACATTCCGCGTCTGATAACGCCGCGCGCGCCACTGCACAAGTGCCTGTCGGTGAGCGTTACACGTGTCGAGCCCTTCCTTCTCCTCGTCTTCATCCCGCCCGATCTGTCCCAGAGTCTGGTCAAAGACACTCGCGTCCATATCCGCCAGGATATCAAAAGACGAGCTTGAGCTTAATTCGGCAGCGGGAGGAGGCCGATAGGCGCTTGACCCATATCGGCGCTCCGTAGTGGGCCATGGATCGTATCTCCGTCCAGTAGAGGCAGCGAACTACCTCTTGCGGACCCTCTTAATGAGGCAACATCCTCTGTAGGGGGCCCGCCACCCCCCGAACTCGGGGATCATCCGCTCGAAATGCTCCTCGAAGCTCAGCGACTTTCGGCTGGCCGGCCGACCTCGACCTCTGTTCCTCGCACTCTAATAAGCGAGCGGGTGGGAACTGCACCTCCGCGTTTCCTGTGGAACCACAGGGCTTCCGTCTTATGAGGTGCAACTCGTAGACCCAGTCCACTGATGTTTTGGACGACACAAGCTACCCCTAACTCGGTGAGCTCCAGGACCTCTTGGAAGCCATGCCCCTAGTCAGTACTAGAGTATCGTCCGCGTAGTAGACGACACTCACTCAAGGGTGAACACTGGTCATCAGGACCGCATCATACGCGAAGTTCCACAGAAGGGGTCCAAAGAAATGTGACAACCCCAAATGTGACTTCCCTTCGACGTTCTTCGCCATCCCGACCCATATAAGATAAGCCCTGATAATGTCCCGCAGGTAGGAGATACAAGTGGTGATACACCAGCGCCTCCCTAATCGCCCACCACGGGAGGGAGTTAAAGGACTATGTCAAGACTGACGGCCAACGCCTCTCCCCCCGACAGACAACCTCTTCCGATAGGAAGCGAACACGTTCGATCGCTTCTAACGTCGAACGTCCCGTCGGGGACAAATGATGCCTAATCAACACCTAGTGCTTATCAGTGAAATTAGATGAATATTGTAGTTTTGATTGACCAATAACACTTACATATATTTAATAGGATGCAGCACCTTTGCGAATAAAGGGGACCCACTATCTTAATACACCAGCAGGATTCGAAAAGGTTTACAACTTAATGAAGAGCTTTCTTAACGAAAAAAATAGAAATAGGGTAAGCATAACGCGGGTCACACGTTGCTAGTAATAATTTCGGTTATTAATGGAATATCAAGGATTAAAAATTTTGTACATTATATTTTACAGCTCTATATCTATAACAACAAGAATTATGACGCTATGTACAAATATATCCCAAAAGAGATCTTACCTGCTGAGTACGGTGGAAATGGTGGTTCCATTGAAGAAATAATTGGTAATGAATGTTTGAAGATTCACCTTCAAACATTACATCTCATCACAAGAACAGTTTTTCACAGTTATATTTTATAATTTAACCTAAATCTTCTTAATAAATCTATACTTACTTAAATCATTAGAAAAACATAAAATTACTATTACAAACATGCCCTTAGATTCGTAACAGATAATATTATCATGAATTAATGTCTTAGCGGCAACATTTTGGTATGGATATTTAGACTGAGATTATGGTCTTTTTATCTTTTTAATAAGATTTACTTACTTATTTAAGATTACTGGAGGAGCAAAGTAAAGGAATATAGTGCGTGGCTAGAAGAAGATTTTAAATATAAGACAGACGAGTCCAAGCGTCCTGGCAAGCCTAAGACTGCTGAAGATATGTTCGGAGTAGAAGGGTCTTTTAGACAGTTAGAGTTTGACTAATAAAACTCTTTGGTGTGCTTGTGTTACACAATAAAAGTATATTTTGTTTATATCCACATTATCTCCGTTGTATCGTGTGTCTCATTTATAGTGGAAATTGATTTCAAAGATCGTCATCTATATTTGAGTAATAAAAAAAATATGTGAACATGTATCTCAAATACATATATGTATGAATTAATTGTTGTTTTTCTTTTTAACCGTACTTATAATCCATACAAAACAGACCTCGTACATCATTGTGCGAATTATGTCGTAGATAACTAATCGATAAGTAGTGATAATTATCATCAGTGTAATAATTACAGAACTATCTAGTTCTTATTGTGTTCGAACGTCAGCATAATGTCTATTAGACCACTGCCTCCGATCCTTGAGAAAATAGCACGTGAGGAGTTGAACGAGGATCCAAATAGACTGAAAGATGATTTACAAAGCATTAAAGATTGGCTTGCTAAGCAACCCCATATAAACGCACGAACAGGTAAGAGAAAGTTTAAAATGTATTTTAGAACTAAATTGATTGAAAAATCACTTACTAAAATAAATGAATTTATTTTGATAATAATTGGCCATCGTTTTAGAAACTGTTTTGTCAAAAAGTTTTTAACCGTACATTTTCGAAACGAATATATTAATTTCCAAAACAAAAAAAATCATCAAATAAAGATACTGAAATACACTGAATAAATGCACTGAAATACTTTAAAATTAAAAGAGAGATGCGAAGAGTACTTAATTGAATTTATAAAAAAAAATAGAAGGTTGTTACTCTTGACATCAATACAATTTTTTTATTTTACACTTTATGTAGAGTTAGTTCTAGATTAAATTATCGCATTTAATAAATATACGATAAGATTACAGTTATATTCTATGTAACATTGGATTACTTATGAGACAATTTGCTACAATTGTCAATAATTTGTATGGAATGAGTATGAAATTACTGATTTTAGTGATCATTTTAATAGTTAATAATAATACGCAAATTTCTCGCTTCACCCTCACCGTCTTAATTTTACATCATCCCATACTGGCACATTTGGCCCTAGTCCGTGGTGTATTAGATTTTGTTACCCTTTAAAATAAAAGGGAAACCACAAAAGGTATAAAAGATAATAACAATAATAATAACTTCACACCTCACACACACAGTTGTAAATAAATAGATGCCATTAAAACATTTATAAGTAATTTGGGGGTATATCATATAAATATATATGAATACAACTTGCTCTTAAAGTTACCATGGCTTTTTAGAAATTGAGCGACACAGCGATCAACCTCAAGCCATGTCCTCGACAACCGTTCGCGAACAGATTGAAAGAACTGGTAAAGGTGGCGCTTCTTAGATGATTCATCCCAGCGTTGTAGCCTAGGTGGTCTATGAGGTCATTTTAGACATCGGACGGCTGAAGCAATCTTGTAATTTTATCCCGATCTCGTTAGCCCAAAAAATCGCATTCCAAGTTTTGTTGTCTTGAATAGTACATGGCTGCACGTCTCTCTCACCGCGAGATCGACCGGAAGCACACCCGCCAACATCGGCAAAGCCTCAGTGCTAACCGTCCTATATGCCTTGCACAAGAATATCAGTGCAAGTCGTTGGCCTTGTAACAGTTTCCGACGGACAGCGCCTATAGAGTGCTGGCCGGAGTTCTCAACCACATGTCAGACCGCCTCAGGGAGGTGTTTGACGCTAGCTTGGCGTCTGACGGTTTCCCTGACTTCTGGTAGAGCGGTAACCTGGTCTTGTTAAGGAAGCCGGGACGGTCTGCCGATTTGGTCACGGCCTTCAGGCCCATCGTGTTGTTGGACGAGGCAAGTAAATTGTTCGAGCGGGTACTCTCTGCCCGCATCGTTCGCCACATTTACGAGTTTGGCCCCGCTCTGTACGCCTAATGTACGATCGACGGTCGGCGCTGTGCTGCGCCTGAGGGCCGTGACCGAAGAGGCGTTGAGCTGTGCCGGCGTGCTTTTGGCAGTGTGATTAGACATCGCCAACGCATTTAATAGTCTGCCATTCAGCTGCATCAGGGAAGCCATTCACTATCAAGGGGTGCCCATGTCGTGCGGTCTTCCATAGGGGTCTGTTCTTGGACCCCTCCTTTGGAACATAGGGTACGACTGGGCCTTTCGAGCTGATTTAGCCCCCGGGCTGGGTGTCATTTGTTACGCCGACGATACTTTGGTCACAGCCCGGGGGACGAACTTTCTAGAGGCGGCGCGCCTGTCCGCTAGGGGAGTTCCTGTGGTGATCGGGCGCATTGAGTCGTTAGGCTTACGGGTGGCCCTGGATAAGAAGGAGGCCCTCTTATTTCATGGGCCTCGTCGTGGGCCTCCTCAGTCGTTGTCAACTCGGTCCTCGTACCGGTTCAGGCCGAGATTAAGCATCTGGGCTCTTTGACGAGCACTTCCGACAGCTTGCTCCAAAACTGGTCGGTGATGCGTCTGCGCTAGGATGACTTTTGCCAAATTTGGGTGAACTCAGCGTCGCTTCGAGACGACTGTACACAGGGGTTGTCTGGTCAATGGCACTGTACGGTGCACCGGTGTGGGCAGCGGTTCTGACCGCCAAGAATAGGGCGTGCCTTTGACGTCCTCAGAGGATATTGGCGATTAGAGCCATACGCGGTTACCGCTCCGTGTTAACGGAGTTGGCGTGCGCGTTGGCCGGAACTCAACCGTAAGATTTGGAGGCGGAAGTGCTTTAATTACTTAATTAAAAACATAAAATAATAATAACCAAATATAAAATATAAAAAATAAAGACGTAACATAACCAACGTTTATTTCAAAAATCTTTTTTACATATTTCTAGTTTTAAATAGGTACGTGTGTATGTCACTAAACTCCACATAAGCCGTTGTACCGAATTTATTAGTTTTTTGTTGTGTTCTTTAGATACACACTGGTTACATACATACACACATATTGGTTTAAGTGATCATCTCGCCGCACCGTAGTGCGCTGTGAGTTGTGGGTTCAATCCCCGAATGGGAGTGTTGTCCCATTTGGAGATCGAACCCACAGCACCCAGTTTGTGTGATCCATAAATTGTTGTTCTGCGTCTGGGTATTTTTTGTGCGTTTCATATGTTTGAAATGACCTCCGCGATACAGGATTTATTCCAAGTGCCGGAGGTGACGTGTTTAAAAAAGGGTAGCGTTTTAATCAGGTCTCGTCGTCAGGTCGTTCTAGAAGTTTTAATTCACCGAGCGGCCACATGCCACTTGCGTATCTCTTCGGGCGGGGGCTGACTGCCACTACCCGCAGCGAAATCAGCCGTCCGCCGATATACTTCAGCGAGCACTTCCGCTTTCAAATCTTTGGATAAAGGCCTCCTTTTTTGCTTTGCTTCTCCATTCCTTTCCTGCTGTTGCTATTATTTTGTCTACCCATCTGTTCCATGGACTGCCTCTTTTTCTTTTGCCCATAGGTCGTTCCCATATTGTTGTTTCAACTGTCCATCTTTTTACCGTGTTTCTCTCTAGATGTCCTGCCCAACGCCACTTTTGTGATTTAGCGTCTCTAATTTTGATTTAATTTTTATGTTGAATGTTCACACTTGGCAGCCGTACGTAAGAGGTGGTAGGATACAGATGCCCATAACAGTTTATGTCATGTGAAGAGGGAAAGGCCCCTTTAGGATTTCTTTTAAGCTTCACCCTGCGTTCGACTTCCTCCTCCTCGCTCCTCGCTGCTGCGTAATTAGTACTTTTTACTACTACTACTTTTAAAGCCCAAATTAGTCAAATAAAAATGCGAACTACACTGAAATACAATTTCAGCCTCCAAAATTCCAATTCCAATTTTTGGGTATTATTGCTTGAATAAAAGATACCACCACCACAGACCACGTTTATGTAAAGCTTAAGAATTTTGGTTAGTAAAAATGAGTAAATTTTATGACGTTGTGAATTTATTCCTTTGTTTGTTAAACAAAAACCAAAAACAACGGACGGATCTACCAACGACATTGGCTTAATGGAAACCGGACAAAGAATTTATAGAGAGGAGAAGCGCTTGACTAAGGCGAGAAGGAATAAATTCACAACGTCATTAATAATATAATGGGATTTGGAGGCGGAAGTGCTCGCCGAAGTATATCGGCGGCGGTGACAGCACGGGACCCTTTCCTTCCAGCTGACGCAGATCCTTTCCGGGCACGGCTGCTTCGGGAAGTATCTGCACTCGGTCGCTAGGAGGGAACTAAGTCCCGCCTGTCACTACTGCGATGGCATTGAGGACTCGGCTCAGCACACGCTGGCAATTTGTCCAGCTTGCCAGGCCGCAGAGCCAGGTCCTCATTGCAGCTATCGGGGGGATCTCTCGCTACCGGCTGTCATATGCTCCATGGCCGGTAGTAGGAGGCGCGCTTACCAGCACCTCATGCCGCCCTGAGTGTGGCTGCGTTTGGACGGGACGGGTTTTCCCCTCCAACCGCCATAATGGCCAGCCGCAAAGAGGTGACATCCGCGTGTGCCGGACGTCACCTAAATAGAGAATGTACCCGAAGGTGATGCCCGCACAATTGCGGGCAGGCGCTAGGAGGGGTCCGGATGTCTTAATAACAGCAGTTCTCGGATCCCTCCTATTACAGGCGCAGACTGGCACACCGTGTGGTTTTAGTCGGTCCGATTCCGATACACCACCACGCCGCAAACCCCGGTGGGTGACGGCCCGAGGGGGTTTCCACAGGTAAAAAAAAATAAAAATGGTAGAATTTTGTAATGATTATATACCTACAGATTTTTGCCATGACGTGACCATAATCAATGTAAGTATGTCGGACTGACTGTCTGTCTGACTGACACGTATGTATGACTATATATGACAATGACGCAAGTCGAAAATGCAGAGGTAATAGTTATTTAATTACTAAACATAGTTAAGACTTGTTAGAATAGATCCCAAGTTATAGAACAGTAACCGTACATTTTAGGCTAAGTTTCATCTACAGTCTACTGCTGGACATAGGCCTCTCCTTAGAAAGGAGGTTTTGGCCTACTATTAAACGCTGGCCAGACGGGTTGGTGTAGGGTTTGTGTCAAGTTTTCCATCTCTTTGAAGTGCTGTTGTACTTCGGAGTTAGCTCCCTTAGTCGACCATCTCGACTCGCACGAGATGAATAGGGTTGGTGACACTGCGTATCTTAATCCCAGTCATTATGAAATATTCTTACAGATGATCAGTGGCTTGTAGCGTTTCTTCGAGGTTGCAAGTATAGCTTAGAGAGAACTAAAGAAAAACTGGACAACTTCTATACTGTTCGTTCAACTATTCCAGAAATGTACCGCATAAAGCATACTGATCCAAAATTTGATGAAATCCTTAGTCTGGGGTAAGTTTGTTGATAGTATACGAGTATGTCGTTATAATGTTTCACATACAATATTTCAAATACACTAACAAATTACCAGTTAAAGTGTCATCAGAGGCACCGAGGTCCGCTAAACTTCTACTAGCTTATAAATATATTCTATTGATCTATTATATACACTTTTAACTCAATGGTTTATTCACACGATATTATAATGATACTATATTCATAAATACATACAATTCACCAAAGTCAAACCGCCCGGCCGCTTACCGTCAGATATCCTGATACCCGGTGGCTCCAGCACGCATATAAGAGACCTTCGGAATATGTCGTTTAGGGCATGGTGTCGCGAAAATCTACCTGTGCAGCGACGACAACTCAATACGTGAAGACCATCGGCCTCAACCATATTGCCGCTTATAAATGTAGTTTATTGACCCTATTGGCATTTTGGGTCATGAGCACTAGACCAGATTCGCAACTCACCAAATTGTAAAATCAGCAGTATTACAATTAACCAGAAGTACAATTAAAAACAAAAACGAATTAAATGAAAAAAATATATTTTCAAGCTACCATAGATATCATAAGCCAAGAAGTTTGTTATTCGCTTTTGTAATTCATAGAAGCTAATACTTCATCAATCATCATCATCATCAACAGCCTTTACTAGTCCACTGCTGGACATTGGCCTCTCCTTAGGAAAGAGGTTTTGGCCTACTATACCACGCTGGCCAGACGGGTTGCTATAGGGTTTGTTCCAAGTTTTCCTTCTCTCTGCAATGCTGTTGTCCTGCGTAGTTTGCTTCCTTAGTCGCCTCTTACGACACCCACGGGATGAATAGGGGTGGTGACACTCAGTATTCTTAATCCGTCACCACACGGAGAGCTAAATACTTAATCAATCAATTTTTTGTTATAATATATAACAGTTAATTTATTTTCAAATTTAACTCTCTACTCAATATTATTATTTAAATTTGATCAAATTATAACATTCAGCTAAACTTGGCGGTGTTTTTATGAGACATATAATTAGAACAACTTAATTTTATTTTTAATAAATACTCGCTGTTTTACTTCATTTCAGAGTTTTTCTTATATTACCCAAGACACCAGGACTACATTCACGTCGAATTAATTTGATGCGAATGGGAAAATATGATCCTAACAAATACAGCATTTTTGATGTCATGTGTGTTAACAATGTCTTAATGAAGGTATGTTTATCTAGTTCTAATATTTATAGTGATAATACAGTTTACATACTAAGAAAATGTCCTATTATTTGAGACTGAGAATTTAATGAATTCACTTTTCACTAATCACTTTTGATCTTTGTGTTACCTACAATATTATTAATAATTGAACTATATTCATGTTTTATACATTGATACAATTTGATGATAAATATAACTTGCCTGAAAGTATTACGATTAAAGATGCGAAGTGACCACCGAAGCCTAAATGTCCGTCACACCAGGAGATGTCAGAGTTTTAATTTAGTAGTTTTGTGTTCTTATACAAAATTAATGTTTAATTGTGGTTTTCTGTAGGGTCGAGGTAGCATCTTTGGTCGGACAACTTTAAATGTAAAATGTTATTATCTAATCAGTAATAGCTGAAAGGGGGATAATTGAAAGTGGGAATGGTAAAAGCAGAAAGGGGAAACTTCTGAGATGTTCATTGTTGTACTGATTTGATCGCTTTGTTTCTTATAGATTTTAATCATGGATGATGATTACACGACAGTAGCAGGCGTTGAAGGAATTGCCGATTTCGATGGAACTACTGTAGGCCATTTTCTGCAAATGACGCCAGTCACCATGAAGAAAATGGTTGCTTTAGGACAGGTGCAGCGAATTTTTATTATCACATAGAGATATCCCTTCCTTCTAGTTGTTTTTACATTTTTACTACTTTTTTATGTTGCTATTTTTTATATTATTGTATGTAGATAGATAGAAAACTATTTGTACACCGTTTTATACCACAATGTACGAATATATATTTATAAATTTCTCAAACCATTTTTTGACTGAATCTAGTTTCTAGGACTGGTGATAACACAGATAGGCGTTTCCAGAACAGCTAGTTAAAATATTATTTTAATTTGTATGTACAAGTTGTTACCGAGAAAATCGATTACGGAAATTTTCCACAAATATTTTAGAAGTTAACTACCCAAGTTTGTTCTCTCTCACAATTTAAAGCCAATTTGACAGTTTTGAAGTAAGATATGTCTGTAATGAAAGTCACAAAATTTTCTAAGATGTTTACATTTTATGTCACTTACGTAAGGTGTGGTCGTATTTTAGAGTCGTATTAGTAGATGTTACTAATACGACTTGAAACTACTCACCTTTCTGTAATACTTTGTATGATTTTCGGTTCACCAAGTTTAATCAATATTTCTTTTCAGGATGCAGCGCCTTTACGAATAAAAGGAAACCATTACTTAAACACACCTGCAGGATTTGAAACAGTGTTCAACGCGGTTAAAGGTCTTTTGAATGAGAAAAATAAGAACAGGGTAAGTAAGATTTCAAATATATTTAATATATCATTAGTTAGTACTTTATAGCCTGTTTTGGCACATTCTAATAAACTTGAATTGCAATAATTGTTTTCATTGTAATTAGTTTAAATAATTATTTGTTACACACGTAAAGATGTCATAAATAATTCTGTTAAGTCAGAGTACTTGAACAATAACTGTATTGTATGAGTAATTGTAGGCCCCCCACAAGGTGGTCCGACTAGCTGGTGAAGGTGGAAGCTATTGGATGCGGGCAGCATAGAATCGGTGGACCTTAGGGGAGGCCTATGTGTAACAGTGGTCGTCTTTCAGCTTAGATGATGATGATAAGTAATTACAAGCATACAGCAGGCCTAGCCCTAGTTTCATATGTCATAATGCATTAACTAAAAGATACATTCTTTATCTCTTATCGTGTCTTTTGAAGTTATTCAGTGAGCCGAAATAAGGCATCGATTGCCCCAAAATTTTGATTTTCTCTAAATTTATTACTTACTGCGTTGAAATATAACATTTTGTGATATTTTTAAAGCTTTACGTTCATAATAAGAACTATGAAGCCTTATATGAACGAGTTCCAAAAGAAATTTTACCAGCTGAATACGGTGGAAATGGTGGAACTATAGAAGAAATTGTGGGTAAGTAGTTTAAATGTGTAGTTTGACTTAGATAAGCGTTACACATTATACTCGTACATTAAACTGAATTCGGAAGAAACTGATTTCGGTAAAGCATAGTTCAGAAGTTACTTGAGATCTTCATAAATAATGATCATAATTTTAGATATAAACGAAATTTCCAAAAGCCATGATTTTTTTTAAAGAGCAGGGAGAATGTATTTTAATTACTCATAATTCGTAATATTTACGTAAGTGCACAACCAAAGTTGATCAAACTGTTTAAATAGGGATTATTAATCTTTATGTCCGTATGAATTAAGGAGCCAATTCAGATTTTAAACGGAAACTTAGTAGGTAAGCAAATAATTTTGTAGGACAGCTCCTGAAATTTGTAACAAGCTTTTCTTTTTATGTTCTAACATACGATACGGGGGCAGACGAGCAGACGGGTCACCTGATGGAAAGTGACTATCGCCGCCCATGAACGTCTGCAACTCAGGGGTCACAAGCGCGTTGCCGGGCTTTTAGGAAGGAGTACGCTCTTTTCTTGAAGGTTTGAAGGTCGTATCGGTCCGGAAATACCGCAGACGATAACCCGTTCCACAGATTGGTTGTGCGGGGCAAAGATATATCGAAAGTTACATCAATGTAAATATGGCTCCTCAATCTAAACATCTGAATTGAGGAGCCACCTGAAACATGGATAGTATTTAATAAATATTTCAAAAAAATCATTTAGTGGTAATTATGTAGGTATAGAACCTTCTAAAAATCTGAATCCAGTACTGTTGATATTCAAGAATATACAATACTTTTAATGTGGCTCCTGAATCTATATTTAAGAGCGTGAATTATGATGAAAGTAATAGGTCAAAATTTGTTTTCGACTCAAAAACATTTAGTAGCAAGTGTGGTTGAATTTGTAGCATCAGGAGAAAGTAGTAAAACTGAGTGAATTTTGTAAATAAACGTATTTTATTTGGCTCCTCAATCCTGATGTTCTACATAATAAATAATCGACTGTACCTAACTGAGATCACAACAGAAACAAAAACCAGTGACACTAACATTTAGTATAAGTGTCTACTAATTAAATATGTATGGGTATACCAACCCGTCTGGCCACCGTGGTATAGTAGGCCAAAACCTCCTTTCTAAGGAGAGGCCTATGTCTAGCAGTGGACTAGTAAAGGCTGTGGATGATGATGATGAATTAAATATGTCCAGATCAAAATTGTAAATTTATACAAAATTTAGATGTTTCAAATTTCGTCACAAGTATATTAAAGTCAAATCTATTTAGCGAAGCATCTTATCTGAGGAGACAGTTAAAATGTGCCATGTCTCCCAATTCACTCATTTTTAATTACTGACTCTTTACACTACAAAGGACAATGGCAGTCATTTATGGGACTTTTGTACCGCCTTGCGTATCTCGTGGTAGGGATTATTGTAGTATTTGTTTGGCGGGTAATAATATCAACGATTACAGTTTCAATTACCCGATTTTTAGAACTTCGCGTTCAAAAGTTATTTCAGTTTATAGTTTGCATATAAGCTGTATTGAAGTCGATACCAATGACAGCTGGCTGTCATAAATGAGTTGTCATTGCTGTCAACAAATTAACCAAAATATCTTTCAAAATCATATGTTGGTGATTTTTTTGATCTGTTAATAATATCCGATGGATTCATTGAATTAAAAGAAGAAGATCTGTTAATAAAATGATGCCCTGTCAAATTAGTTTTTACATTGTGTTCACAATTAATCTAATCATTGTGAATAAAAGTTATTAGTACCTTTCCTTAAATTAATTAATTTAAAATAATCATTCCTTTATTACTCTGTCTAATCTGTACAGTCCAGATTATTAATCAAGAAACGTTTGTTTTTAACTGCTAAATACACTAGTGAGTTCATTTGTTGTTCTCAATGTAAAGATATTGTATTTTATGTAATTTATATTTTATGCATGGCAAGTTTAGAAAGCATAGGAATGTGTTTTGTTGTCAACACCTCAATGTTTAGTTATTGCAGTTGTAACAATTCTTTCAAAAGAATTTATTTATTTTTAAAGTTGTAAAAATTTGATAATTACATGAAAATAGGTTGATTCACTAACAGTACAAATATCATAATCATCCATCATATATTACTGGGATACAGCATCTGCCGTTCTCCTTTAATATACTTAACTACTAAATGATGAAGAAATTGTGCATAAATTGAAAGATTGCTTGTTTGAAAAATTAAAGTGGTATGTATGGTCTGAAGGGCCACATATATAATGTATGGTGGCTTTTTTTAATTTTAACTTTACCAAGCTCAGATTTTGTCTACTGACTACTCTCAAATACTACAAAATCATACTAAATTATGATAAATATACATCCATTATGTTGTTAGTTCTGACGTAGATCCTCAATCCGAACATTTAGATTGAGAAGCCACCTTTATGTTCATATAACTTTCAAAGTATTATACTATACAAAATCGAGGGTCGAAGCTAAAATTTTTTGATTTACTACTGAACAATAATAGTAATTTCATTAGGATATGAAAAGTGGCTGCTTAATCCACCGGACACTAATCTTTCTTCTTTTTTATTTAATAAACAGTATAATGGACTAACTGATTAATAAACTGTAAAAATACTCTAAAGGTAGGCAAATACTTGTACTGAATTCTACGCTTAGCAACATATTTACAAGTTGGTAACTAAAATCAGTGTAAACCATAGTTGTAACCAAACTACAAATGTTAGCAAAGCTACAGATGTCATGTCACCACCTGTCCTGTCAGCTATTCACTGGCACTATTTATATTTTATTAATTGACAAGAGCATCAATTCAAGAATGTCTCACTTGCTGTGATTGAATCTGCGCAGAAGAGCCTAGAGGAGATCTTCACAAAAAGAATGGGTGAACTTAAGACACAGATACAGTGCAGCGCACCAGCAAAGCTACCGTTGCAAAGCTTGCTGATGAGTTTCATGTTTAGTATGCTGGGTTTGATTGGCAAGCAGATTGCGAAAGAATCCAGACATAGACGCAAATCACTTGTCTTCATTGGAGTTCCAGAGGCCGAAAATGAAAACTGTACAGACATAGAACTGAATCTCCTTAGTAGCAAACTGGATCTGAAGTTTACCAAGTCATGTATTATAATTTACCATAGACTTGGAAGTCCCAAATATGGTCACAAGCAGTCCTTACTGGTAAGATTTTTATCCTTGGATCTCAGATCTGTTGTGTGGAAAGTAAAGACAAAAATCAAGGGCACGAGAATTATAGTAAAAGAATATCTCACTAAGGCCAGACAGTCTGCATTTGCATTGCCATTTTGGTGTGAAAGGCTGTTGGACCCAGGAAGGCGTTATTGTCGTCAAAGCTCGCAGTGGTGGCCGAGTCAAGATAACGTCGATGGATAAATTGAAACCTCTGATACAAAAAATCCAAAAGGAGCTGTTGACGGTTCCACTATTAACAAGAACACAACTCGTAGAAACTACTTTCCAGGCCACTATCGTGTTCTTAAAAAACCTTTTCGTTTTGTTTTAATTTAGGATGTTCTTCATACCACCTTTCATTTACATATTTACAATAGCATATATTTCATACACAATATCAAAATTAAGAAATCAATCTAAATCTATATGTCAAAATGTCATGTTGACGTTTACAGGAAGAGCTTGCTAACCGGTGCGTTTCGTGTTCATGTAATTTGTCATGCAAACCATTAACCGTTCTGAAATATGTTTTTTTGTCACGACGAACCAACGACTGTACTAAATGTTGTTTTTTTTTCTTTTTATACGTTGTTTAAAATTAATTGGTGTTAATGGTGTCCCTGTCATTGTTTTATTATTAAATAAGTGTCAGTGTGAGCCGGTCGGTGGTGCATTGATGTGAGTTTTATATTAATTTGCAAAACTATAAATTTAGTGTTTGGACCTTCATATTTTACATGTTAATATTTTTATATATATATATCCTCGATGATGTATTACGTAACACTGTTAATCAAACACCTAATCGAGGATTAAACGTTTGGCATATAAATGCTCAAAGCATACGAAGTCACTATAATGACTTATGGGAAACCTTCAATGGCTTAAAAGTGCACGTCATCCTGGTTTCACACACACATGGCTTAAGCCTCAACTTCTTTCTACTTCGTACCCTCTTCCAGGTTTTCTTCTCATCCGGAACGATAGAGTAAATAAAAGAGGAGGTGGTTTAGCAATTTACTTACGTTTCGATTTTTCTTACCACCTTGTTTCCGTATCACCACCTGATTCGACTGCTGAATATCTTTTCCTTGAGATTTGTGTCAGGGGAGCTAAACTCATCCTATGTGTCATATATTGTCCTCCAGCCATTGATTACTTCACCGAATTCGAATCGGTTTTAGAATCGTTAGGGTCCGAGTATGAGCATCATATCATCATGGGCAACTTCAATACTGATCTCTTGTCTCAAAACTCCTCTCGCTCTCGTAAACTGTTAAATATATTGAAATCCACTTGTTTACATATGTTACCCCTTTAAACCTCTTACTAAATTTAGAAGATACCCTGCTAGACCTTATTATTACTTCGTCTCTTGCAAACGTTACTTCTCATGGACAATACTTGCCATCTGATTTTTCACATGGACCTGATTTTTATAATTTGCAAAATTAATACGCCAAAGCCTAAAACGAAAATAATGTATAAGCGCTGTTTTGGACGCATCTATTTGGAGAAACTTCGGCAGGGTTCTTTTCATATCAACTGGGAACCCTTAGCCGCAACAGGCACCGTCGACGAAAAGGTCGAAATAGTGAACAATAACATCCTGCACCTAAGTATATAATGTTCATGCACCAGCCAAGAAAATTAACTTAAAGCATCCTCCCGCACCTTGGCTTACGGATAGCGTCCGCAACGTAATAGGGAACAGAGATCGTGCTTTTCGGAATTTTAAGATGACTCGATGTGGTAATAACTGACTCGCCTATAAGAATGCTAGAAATAAGTGTAATCAAGTGATACGTAACGCTAAACGACGTTTCATTCTCGATAGTATCTCTTCATCTTCTTCTACTGATATTTTGAAGCTCCTAGGGACACTTGGCATTGATAGAGAACGCCATGCAGACTTTCTTGCTTTTTCTTCTTCTTTCTTCTGCTGACTTTTCAATGAAACTACACTACATTGGATCATCAAAAAAAAGTTCAAACCATGGCTTATGTGGCCCGTTTGCATAGGCCTAATATTACCTCCTTTGATTTTTCTCCAGCTGCACCAGAGGAGGTCGAACAATTTATGCTGTCCATCAAATCCAACACCACCGGTTGCGATGAAATTAGCCGTTTTATGGTAACCGCTATCCTGGGACAGCTTTTACCAGCCATTACTTACGTGATCAATTATTCCCTTGACTCCAATTACAATACGTACTTCCATTAGCCAAAGTACCTAACCCCTTTCTCCCTATTTACTTTCGTCCAATATCCATACTTCCGTTTCTCTCCAAAGTCCTAGAAGCCTGCGTGCATAAGCAACTTTCAAACTTCATTTACGGGAATAATTTGCTCAACCCATATCAGTCAGGATTCGACCTGGACACAGTACAGAGACAGCTTTGTTAGAAGTGACTCTCGACATCAAGGCGGCGGTGGAGGAAGGCAAAATAACTGTACTTAGCCCTAATCGACTTCTCGAACGCCTTCAGTACTGTGAGTCACGATATCCTATATACTATACGATACTAGAAATACTTACCCACTTCATGATTTGCGATGATGCACTGGAATGGTTTTCGAGGCCGCCAGCAGTCCGTCCGAACCGATGAATTTTCCTCAATGTTCGCCGAACTCGCCTCGGGTTTTCCACAAGGTGGTATTCTTGCTTCTCTTCTCTTTTCTTTATTTATCGATCTCATAACCTATGAACTTCGGTGTTCGTGTCACTTGTATGCAGACGACCCGCAGATTTATTCACATGGCAGAGTAGAAAATTTGGACGAAGCTGTAAATAGTGTTAATCAAGATTTAGAGACCATAAAAACCTGGTCCAGCAGGTTCGGTTTAACGATGAACCCATCCAAATGCCAAGCGATAATCATAGGGAGTCCTAGAATGACAAGCAGAATTGATCCTGATAGTATTACTGAAATCATCTTTAATGACACCGTTTTGCCTGTTAGTACATCGGTTAATGATCTCAGTCTGCACGTCGATGCGACTCTGAACTGGCAAACTCACGTAACTAGCGTCAGTCAGAAGGTTACGAATATTTTACGAGGATTCTATCGCCTTAAAAAACTTCTACCAATAAAAATAAAGACGATGCTTGTGCAGAGTTTAATTTTTCCAATTATTGACTATGGTGATGTGTGCTATCTCGACTTGAATGCAGATCTGCTCAATAAATTAGACCGACTTCTCAACAATTGCATTCGATTCATATCCAACCTGCGAAAGTATGATCACATATCCGCTTGCCGTACGCGCCTTGACAGGTTACCTATTAGACAGCCCCGCAGTACGAGGCCTCTATGTTGCACTCTCTTCTCCATTCACCTAATTCACATACCTACTTAAAATCCCACTTCCAATATCTCTGCTCTAATCATGACAGAACTCTTCACTCTCCTAACAATCTTCTCCTTCTTTGTCCTTCACATATTTCCAGTATGGTTCATTCTTCCTTCTCTGTTCAAGCTGTTACCCTTTGGAACACACTCGCACTAGAAATCAGAATGTCCACTAACCGATCCACTTTTAAGTTTAAAGTACGGAAGCTCTATAGAGACTTGTTGATGGAGTCATCAGAATAACACCTTAAGAGTATCTTTATTTAATATGTATTATATTTTGATATTTATATGTATGTATACCTTTTTTTTTTTTTTTTTTTTTTTTTTTGTTGACGGAGTGGAAAATCCCTTCGGATCTCCGGCTCCTTGGGGATATAGGAGCCAGGAGTATGTGGTGATTCCACTAAAAACCACTCCGACGGCCAGCCTTAGGCGCCCTGCTCTGGGGAGAACCCGGCCCATGTGATTTCAGGTCCCCCAGATCGACGCCGCACCTAGCTAGGTCCCATCTCAGGGAAAGCCAGTGGCTTCTCCCTGCCTCTCAGCCTATCCAGATGTTGCAGCCCGATCACATTTTCAGTGCGATCAGGCTGCCATCCTTTCCCCTACCGCAGCAATTAATCTGCCACCAGAGGTCCCCACTCTCTGGCGGCCCGCGGTCCCGTCGGCTGCTCATTACGTCGTCGACGTCTTCTTCGCTCGGGATCGGCCCTCTCCCGATCCCGTTCAGCGGTCTCTTTCTGGAGCATTACAGCTTCACAGAAAGAGACCACTGCGCCCCAGCCCTCCTCACCCGCCAGCATGGCAGTAATGATTGCTGGCGGGGACAAGTCTCGTCCGATTTCATCGACCAGGACTTCGCGTTCAGATGCCCACGCGGGGCAGTCTTCCAGCGTGTGCTGGGCGGAGTCCCAGTCGGCTGCGCAGTGCTGGCATTGTGCCGTCTCCTCGCGTCCAATCCGATTCAGGTACTCACCGAAGCAGCCATGCCCAGTGAGCACCTGCGTCAGTCGGTAGGTGACGCGACCTCCCTCCCTTCCTACCCAAGCTTCGAGGTTAGGCAAAACGGCACCGACAGCACGTTGGCGCGCATTCCGCGGCTGTTCCAACCGCGCGCGCCACTGCATATGTATGTATACCTAGTACCTATATATCAGTAGGATTTTTTTTCTCCTTTTGTAACATCGTTTAATTCAGTCTCATCACCTCAGTCAGTCTCGTTACCTGTCTCAAAATACACCTGTCACACACAGCTTTGCAACACCCAAAGGTTTGACTGGAAGAAAATGCCTGTTGCATTAAGTCCGCCTGATGCAATATGTTTGCAGGAAGTCTTTAAGAAATAAATAAATGTTTGTTCGGCAAAACAATTGCATATCACTTTTAAATGGCTTAGCACTCATTCATTTATTATGTAACTAAGTAAGTATACGGTCCGTCTCATGAATACAATAACGTTTGAGACAGATGTATACTGATAGAAGTGTACATTTGACTCAACCCTTTAATTAGGTTAGCCTTATCACTTTTTCGATAGAGCTCCTTTTGGCACCACGCTTTTATTGTTGTCCAAAGAACGTTCTGGTGCGAATCTGGGTTCTATAGCTAAATTAACGCTGATGATGGTCCTAGCATATGCATAGCAATGTGGGACAGTCTACGTTACACAAGGGGGACTATTTTTAGTTCTCTTTAATTACTTTCTATTTAATCTTGACTACGATAAATTTACTTCAATAACTATCACATTTGCACATAGTATTAAATGATGTTTGACTATCTCAATATTGTGGAAATTAACGTATCAAACCTCCTTTTTACCTGCAGATTACTGGAAGAACAAAGTAAAGGAATACAGTTCGTGGCTAGAGGATGATTGGAAGTATGGAACCGATGAATCAAAGCGTCCTGGTAAACCAAAGACTGCTGAGGATATGTTCGGAGTAGAAGGTTCTTTCAGACAGCTACAATTCGATTAAAGATATGGAATGCTTTTCAAATATAATTAGTGTAATAAACGTTTGGTAAATCGACTAATTATTTCTATTTCATACTTAACACTAGTCAGTAACACTACTCCACAGAGTGTCAAGTCAAATAGGTTTTCGTTTTGTAGATACTTATATGAAATATTGTTGTCCTGCGTAGTTTTGCGTGGCTCTCACTAATGTCACTTTGCATTCTTAATCTGTCATCACACAGACGCGCACTAAACTACGCAGGACAACAGTACTGCAAAGAGAAGGAAAACTTGTCACAAACCCTATATTAACCCGTCTGACCAGCATGGTATAGTAGGCCAAGAGCTCCTTTCTAAGGAGAGGCCTATGTCCAACAACGGGTTATTAAAGACTGTGGATGTGACCTGATGATATAAAATATTAGCCGTTAAATGTTTCAATTAAAGATTGAAAACAAATATTTTTTGTTCGAAAGGGGTTTATCAGAAATGGTCCCATTTAAATTTCATATAGATCTGTTGATGAGTTTCGGAGACAGACAACGGAACTCTTAAAAAATGACAGCAAATTAACCGTGATTGCTGAACTGGCTTCTAACGAAAAACGCGAAAAACCTATTTTAGCATTCTTTGTTAGAAGCCGGTTCAACTTAAAAAAAGGATTTATTGAATTAGTAGAAAATTATATTCTAAAATAATTGATTATCTGAATATTTTGTTTCTATAATTGATGGAAATATCAGTGTGAACGGATGTAAAAGAATACGTGCAGCGGAACACGTAAATTCCTTCTTTATGCCGTGAGGGATTCTAGGTAGCATTATAATATCTTCAAGTCATACAAAAATTGTTAGAACTAAATAGAATATTATGGTTATAGGATAGAATAATCTTTAGGTTACCTATAAAATTAAAATATTGCTTATAGAGGTTACTCTAAGTATAAGTTGATATGTAGGTACAAAGAGCGATCTTATCGTTAAAAGCAATTTATTCCAAACAACCTTGGAACGAAAAAAAAGAGAGCTAGTAGAATGAGTAGTTTTTGGTGTTTCTTTTTTACTTGAGTCTGCACACGAACATTGTGACGTTCAAATACTCTCATGTTTCGCAGAGTGAAAATAGGATATTGCGAAATGTAATACACAATACTTGGTCGTTAGAGTTAGCTATCATTGGTTTATATTGCCTGTCGAAATGATAAGACTTGTTGTTTATCAGTTAGTCGATATACAACCAGCGCACGCAAGCGACAGGTATGTAAAAAGCTAATTTGTTTTGCTGTTTTATACTTATTTTTAAATATGAAAATAGAAGCAAAAGTATCTATGTTCAGCGTTTTATGTACGTACTCAATTTGATTAACTACATACATAAAACGCTGAACAAAGATACTGAAGTTCTATTTAAGAAATTGGGAATGAAAATCATTTGAACAACATGTCTTTTTATGACCCTTTGCTTTAGATAATAATATATTCTTATCCGCAGCGAACCACTCTTAAATTAATGGATACTTATCCCTTATCTCTTATGTAGCCATATATATCTAGCTTTCAATATTTAATAGTTCAATCATCGTTATTTATCTTGAGTTTATTATGTTATGTTTCGCTTAAAGATCGAAATAGGTCATCAAGGGAAGAAACATTAAAAAAGCATTGTGGCAATCAAAGAAAGACCACACCGTAAAAGTTGGGTTTTAGTTCCTATGGTAATACTCACGACGCGTTGCAGCAATTTAACAATTACAGAAAGATGACATAGCGTAATCCTGTTATATGAAAACATCGCATTTTGGCAATGAATAAAAGCCATGACGCGTATTATACACACAATGGGTCTTACATGTCTCGAACTTTTTTGGTATTTAGATATACTTAGGAAATATTTTTTATCCGCTAACAAGTACTAAATAATCTTAATGCTCTTTCTGCTGTTAAAAATCATAACTGCTGCATGGCGAATTTATCATTATAAATATTTTATTTAAAAACTCGTGTCCATAAAATAAAAGGGCACGTTGTTGAGTGGGTGTTGTTTATTATGGTTAACTTTATTAACTTCTTTAGGAATAACTTATTGAAAATAAATATAAATACTTTATAAAAAAGTTGAACTAAATTTAGCTCGTTCAGCATGTTGCATGCATGAAGACTGTTGCAGCTGCCGCGCTACATTCTACCAAGCCTATCTAGGCTTGACACCGACTTTAATCAGACTAGAAGGGACTATTAGGGGTTATATTGAAGGTTCTTATTATAGTTTTTTTTACTTAGATTTGTAATTATGTATAAATTTTTAGTGCTTATTGTCAGTATTGTTTGAAGTTGGTTCAACTTTTTTTAAAAGACTTTATTTAATCATTTTTAGTGTAAGATATGTTTGTAATGAGTAGATAAGTACGAAATTTAAAACACTACGTCCGTAATGTATAGTACTAAACTGTAGCTAAACTAAACTGTATGTTAACTTATATAAAAATAGTTTAATAAGTCCGTTATTTCATTTAGATAGGGTAGTAAGATGTTACATTTTAACCCGAAAATATATTGTTTTCCACATTACTTAATTTTCCAAAATTAGGAGTGGTATTTTGTCTTCATATTTGAATGGAATTAAAGGGGAAATATTCCTTTCCGAATAAAAAAATATATTTAATCGGTTTACAAATGAAAGAGTTTTGAGGTAACATATAACATGAAAATAATTGCGTAACAAATTTTTTTTTGTCGAATTGTTTTGTAATTTTATTTATTACTCTCTTGTGCACATATCTTTGTAGCCCACAAACACCTAACAAATATCTTGAGAGGATAAAACAAGGTCAAGACTTGATTAGATTTTTGAAATAGTTATTTTCTAACTCCTAAAGGTCCTTCCATCATCAGCTCAGTAACATGACATAACGACTACTAAACGCAAATACCTATAAAGCTAGAAAAATAGGCTAAAACACGTTGTCAGGGCTGTAAAATTTGAAGGTTTCCCTCGATTTATTTACGATCCCATCATCAGATCCTGATTTGTCGGTAATGGGACCACTTCGTAATGGAATGGAATTAATTGGTACTGGAAAATGTCGCGCAAAAAATAGACAAAAAAAAACATATACATACGAATTGAAAACCTCCTCTTTTGTGTTTTTGAGGTCGATTAATTCGTCATTGACAAATTACATAAAATATTATTATTAACTTAGGTACTCCAAATTAGGGACTTCAAGTATTTTTGTACGACAATTTAAATACTTTCGAGTAAAAAAATTTTTAACGTTTCCAGTTTTTTAACCGAATTCGAAAACAGAAAAGAGGAGGTTATAAATTTGACTGCTTTTTTTTTCTTTTGCATGTTTGGTACGCGATATCTCCGGCAATTGTAGACCGATTCTTTGTGTAATCGTTAGGGTATATTTCCGAGGTGGTTTCATTACCTCCAAATTAGGATCTGATGATGAGATCCTAGAGAAATCGAGGAAAACCATCAAACTATACAGCCCTAACGTGTTTTAGCCTGTTTCTCTAGCTATATAGGTATAGGAGACGTTATATCATATTACTGAGCTGATGATGGAAGGATCCTTGATGTTTAGGAGTTAGAGTATAACTCTATCAAAAATCCAATCAGGTATTGAACACGTTTTATACTTTCAAGATATTTGTTAGGTGTTTGTGTTGGGTTACAGAGATATGTGCACAAGAGAGGAACAAATTAGGTCACAAAACATTTAGACCAAAATAGTTTTTTATTTGTAAACCGATTTTAAAATTTATTTTTCATTTGGATGGGTATAATTCCCCGACTTCAAAAACACAAAAGAGAAGGTTCTCAATTCGCCTGTATTTTTTTTTTGTATTTTTGACAGTTTGATAATATATATTACAGTACTTAGTGTTAAACCGACTATGATGAAATGATATGAACCGACTTCAAACAATACTAACAAAGAACACTAAGTGGAAAAAACTAAAATATTCTTATTATTGTCCTAACTAATGGCTTGACATAATTCAACGCCCACGCAACTACTGAATGTACAAATCCATATGCGTTCACTGTTGACTTTCTACTGACTGTTTTAAGCAATTCATTCGTTGCATTCACCAAGTGACTGAGGTAACTGGATCCTAAAGTTAGCCTCAGTTACTCTTCTACTCTCTAGGCGACGTCTCGAAGTTATGGAACATGGACAGCTTTAGTCCACCCGATCTCTTGCAAAGATGACTGATAGGATCTGGATAGATTGGATTTACTTTAGTCTTACTATACCTAGACTTATAGCCATAACCTTGTACTCGAATATAATCCGTTATCAACTACCAGCTCCTTCGGCTCTTAGAAGATCACCAGCGACTCAATGACCGACAATACGGTCCACGGTACGACACACGTAATCGAGACCAAGTGGGACGTATATACGGTTAATTTAGACATGGCAAGAGTTTCCATCAAAGTGCACAAATCACTTCATGTTATGTTAGTTTGTGTACGCTTCAAAACTGCACTGATTAAGCTTAAATGTTCACGCGAAATGTTGACACCAGTTTAATGATTGTTTTTATCTATATCTCTCATTTCTCAATAAAATTTATGTATTTAGTAGTGTAAGTTTTTGTAAATTTTATCAGCAGCAGGATTACCATAATAAAGGCTCAGCCCACTTTAAGACAGGAGGCCGCGTGTGAGGTCTGTCAAAAAAAAAAACCGGAGAAACAGAGCGTCATTTGTATTTTTAAACATTAATAGCAATATTGGAAGTAAATTTTTTTTCATAAAAAAGAAATAAAACTTTCCTAGCTTATTATGATTCAGTTAATTAACTCAAAACAATGTAATTAACTTCATTGGTTCAGTTATTTTATTTATCATAATTTTAAACTGAAAGCCCCCGGGCTACATTTTAAAAGTATAGTGCATTACGAAGCGAATATGATAACGTCAATATATTATAAAAAATATGGTTGGAATGTTACATTTTGTTTTTAATTTATTTACATTTAAACTTATAAAATCAAATTGACATATTTTCTCGGCAGAATTGAAATATAAATTAAACACAATGGTTCGCGAGTTAACACTAGAATTAGCTGCAATAGCAAAGGATGAATTGAACGAAAATCCCCAAACAGTATCTAGTGACTTACAACATTTGAAGGAATGGATTTCAAAACAACCACATTTAAGAGCAAGAACAGGTACGAATTATATAATATAATTCTGGTTTGTATTTCTACTAAGTCACATTACAGCCAAGCCGTTTATAAACTACATCTGCTGGTCATCTGCTGAGGAATTTTATACGTATTTCCTGTTATCTTATTAACACTGGTATATGAATGAGAGAGAGGGAGGAAAGCCAGACAGAATGCAAAGAGAAGGAATATTCAGATGTGACAGTAAATCACGTGCCTCCGTGCCTCGGAAAACACGTTAAGCCGTCGATCCTAATTACCATACTATCATCTGTGGCAATCACTACAGGTAGTTGGAGTCCCAAAAAGTCTGATAACGGCATCACGTCTAGCATTGTCAGTAAAAAAATCGAAGATCGTGTAGTAGTAGACTGAAAGCCCTACTACTACCAACCTAGTTTGGGAAAAAGGGTGAATTATGCTTATTTAAGTACGTATTTTTAATTATTTTTCAGATGATCAATGGCTGATTGCACTGTTAAGAGGTTGTAAGTTCAGTCTAGAACGGGTAAAGAAAAAGATAGATTTATATTACACTTTGAGAAGCACAGCTCCAGACATTACGTTGAGGATTAAACCTACAGACCGGAAATTTCTAGACTTCTTTAAACTAGGGTAGGATATTCACTTGTACAGATCCTATTACAAATGTACTGACTCTGATTTTATAATGTTAACTCACGATAATTTAAAAAAGCTGAAAAATTAAGACGGCATTCAAAAACTTCCTATTTATATAGTTGGATTAGTTAAAAACAAGGACATTGCACCAGATATCACGATATCAACAATATTCCTTAAAATATCATAAGATCTTGATGATTGGAGTTAGCCTTAACTAAACTTAAAAATATAAACAGAAGCCACTGCGGTCGTTGTCCTCACACAGACGGAACCTCATTTGATGTTCATTTTATAGTTTAGTGCTTTTTGAAAACCTGCACGTCTAATATATATTCATCATCAGCCGATCGCAGTTCACTTCTGGACATAGGCCTCTCCCATTCCACGCCGATTTTGGCCTCCAGCTCTTGCCAGCAAACTTGCGCAAATCGTCACTCCACCTGGCCTGTGGGCGTCCTACACTACGTTTGCCAAGACGCGGTCGCCACTCAAGAACTCCTTTTCCCCAACGGTTGTCGATTCTGCGGCTAATATGGACAGCCAAGTGCCATTTCAGCTTGCTGATCCGGTAGGCTATGTCGGTGACCGTGGTTCTCTGCCGGATCACTTAATTCCTGATGCGATTCCTGAGAGAAACACCGAGCATAGCCTTTCCATAGCACGTTGAGCGACTTTAAACTTGTGGACCAGCCGTAACGTAAGTTTCCACGTTTCGGCTCCGTATGTCATGATGGGTAGGAACTTACGGCACTGTGGGATCGACGATGAGAAGACTCGACGCACGTTTCAAGTGCAGCGTCTTGAACATGTCCTCAATTTCCTTCATTTGTGAACAATTTCAGGGAAATAACGTCCCCTTGTCTCACTCCTCGATGCAACGGTATGGGTCTTGTTTGCTGATTCTGTACTTGGATGGACATGGTGGCGGCTTCGTAGAGACATTTCATTACTTGGATGTATCGCCAATCTACTTGGTAACACTGCAGGGACTTCAGACCAGATCGCGATCGAGTCAAGGCCTTCTTATATTCCACGAATGCTAGACACATAGGCTTTTCCATTTTTCAGCTGTCCAAGAGCAATCTCGATTTCGTCAGTGCTGACTTCTGTCAGGTCTTCGGTTAAGTGACGTGTTACTGTGGCTCTGGAGTCCTCATTTTTGGGGTCAGATCGAGATGCATGCGAAGCGTATACCGGCCATAGAAGCTTTCCACTTCCGAAAAGACTGCCGGCTTCGAAGCAACTTCAACAAGCGACTTCTCCACTTGCTGTGGTCCGCTTTGCCAGCAAAGTGACTTTTGGTTTTGCTACGTGAAAACCCACCTTGTTGGCAAAGTGGCTTTGCCAACAAGGTGGATTTTCACGTCGTTTCTTCATTAGCCCTAGGGTCTCTTCTGAAAGCTTCGATTTCCCGGAGCCTGGATTTCATCAAATAGACACGTTCAGCCTTTAAGTTGATATTCAGAGAGCCGCGGACAAGTCGGTGATTGCTATTGAACCTATTGATTACTGAGACGTCTCTGAATATGTGCTTCCTATCCGTCATGATGAAATCGATCTCATTTCTGGTCATAGCTTCGTGGCTTTGCCACGTCCACTTCCTTTGGGGCTGATCCTTGAAGAAAGAGTTCATCAAGAAGAGCCCCTCCTGTATGAGGAAGCTGACCAGCATTTGCCCCCTATGATTCCTGCTTCCAAATCCATGGAATCCTACTACCGATTCGCCGTAATTCTGCACTCCCACTTTAGCTTGAAGCCACCCATAACAACGTTGTGGCGGGTCTTAGTTGTGAAGTGGAGGGCCCAACGATATGTCATCGAACATATCAGCCACCTCGTCGTCCGAGTGTGCCGAGGTCGGTGCGTACACTTGCACAACCTTGAAGCTATACCTCTCGGTGATATTGATAGAAAGGGACTTATTTACCCGAAACCCAACGCCACCTTGGGATTGTTGGTCTCCCTCGCGGAAGTACATAAGGTGTCCAGACTCGAGGGTTATGGTGTCCTCCCCCTCTCTTCGGACTTTACATAGCCCTATGATATGCCACCTAATCTTTTCAAGTTCCACCACAAGTTGCGCAAGATGCGTGTGTGCAAAAAGTATGTCCGTTTATACACACTCAGTGAGTGTGTAGAGTAGGCGATGATATCTAATACGAGTAACATTACTTAGTAACGTCTAGTTATAGCTCTGTTGTAGTACAACTTTTACGCTAACTAAATTTGAAAGCTGCTTTGCCTATCTGTGACATCACAATAATGGGTAATACCTACCCAAAAATTCGAACAATTTTACTGTAGATGTTAAAAATGTTACTGGTTAAGTACCTAATTACAAATATCATTTAACTAGCTTTGTTATGGCAAAATATAATAGTGAACTGTAAAATAGGTATTTTATATAAATGTGTAAGTATAGTAAATATTTGACTTACTTTAGAAAAAATAAGTCCAATTCTTAATGTTCCAAGGAAAGTGTTTTATTTCTTTATGCACACATGCACACACAACAAACTACGCAGGATAACAGCACTGCAAAGAAAAGGAAAACTTGAAACAAACCCTATTCCACATCGTCTGGCGAGCGTGGCATAGTAGGCACAAACCAAAAAGGAAAGGCCTATGTCCAGCAGTGGACTATTAAAGGCTGTTGATGATGATGGTGATGCATACATATTACAAAAAAGTGAAATTTCATCAAAACTTAGGTATAAATACAGTTAGTTTAATTCATGTTACTTCACTTTTTTGTGAAATAGTAGCTCTGCCAATCAAAATTCCCAAATAAGATGTTACTTTTTTCACATATATAATAAATATAACAATATTATTGTAAGTTATATATATTACGTATTTGATAAGTGCATTTACCTAAATATATGTACAGGGTGTAAGATACATCGTAACGAATGGTACTGAAATAGTGTGACTAATTTTCTAGGACATGTTTAATACTACCAAAACCGAAAGACAAGCTGATGCCACGGGTTGTCGTCATCAGAGGCAGCTTATATAACATCGCTACACACAGCGTTGCTGACGTCATGTGTATGTTGCATTATTTAGTACAGGTAATGATAAAATATTATAAGTAAATACTTTTCTACTTACCGCCAGTAGTCCTTCGGTGGTAAATGTCACGGTTCCCTAATTGTGACTGGTATATAGTTATCACTGTTAACATAAAAAAACAAAGCGAGAAACCCAGATATTTTTTGTCTCAAAACTTTCCAGATTCTTACACATTCGATGTGTAAACCGGGACGGGACAAGATATACTTTTTAATTTATTATCGCGATTAAATCTATAATTTTTTTTAAGGACGGATTGTGCTCAAGGATTGTATACTACCTGCCTACCTATAAAGTAAGGACAAGTGTCTATTTATAAGTATACGTTTTAAATACTCCTGTGATCTGATTGCTTAACTGATAGGCAAGGTAAAATTTTATTCACGTAACTTTTGTGTTATTCATGGATATGTTGCTTCGTTAATCGTGACCTGCCCCATGATTATTAATTATAATTTAGGAATCTCTCAGTAAAAAGTTCAGTGAGTTTCAAAGGTCCATGGATATTTTGTTAATTCTCAGGCCATTATGCCGATGACTGTTAAGCCAACTAAATGAATTTTAATTTAATCTATCAAATGTTGCAAAGTAAAAGAGCTTACCAAATTTACGTGCTGAAAAGTACTGCTGCGAACTTCAACAGGCATCTTGAAAATTATCACTTTTCATGAAACCCTACTTTATAAATAAAAATATTTTTCATCTAAATGGAAACAAGAGCGGTAGCTAACAAGGTTAATAATATTACGATTATTTTTTCTTGAATATGACATTCGGCATTTAAATATTCATGAAAACTTTTTGCTGTGATCAGTCTCGAAAAATGAATATTTTTCTGCAATAGTTCGCTATTGGTCTAGTGGTAAGCGATCGTGACTGCTAAGCTAGAGGTCGTGAGTTCAATTCCCACCTAGAACCTATAATGTGGGATGACTGCACGGATGGCGTAGTGGTTTAAACGGTCGCCACGCCGCTTCCTACTGCACATATAATATATATGTATGTATATTTATAGGTAGGAAACTAGGAGATTAGTGTGTAGTGAAGTATTTGTATGTATATATTATGGAATGTGAAATTTTTAAAAATAAATGAATATTTCAGATACTGGTTGTAGAAGACGACGTCGCTTCAGTGCTGGGTATCAAACTCATCATAGATTACGAAGGCGCAACAATGAATCACTTAGCGCAAGCTACTCCTTTGTTGAAGAAAATGACTGCTGTGGCACAGGTATTCACTTCTTACATATTTTTTTTATATATAATAAAATATTCTACCACATTCACACAACGCCATCTAGTCCCAAACTAAGCAGAGCTTGTACTATGGATACTAGACAACTGATATAAGTACATTTATACTTTTTTTTTTGTAAATACATACTTATTATACATATCTTTACTTATATATAATATAAAAATATTCCATGTTAGTTTACTGGGGAGTGTGTGGTGCATTACGATTAAAACTTCAGGTAAACGAGAAGACGATTTAGACATTTTACCGTGTTTAAATTCAGATTTATAAACACTACACTTCTGCCAGTTAATTCGCATTCCTTCACATCAACTTTGTCACTTAATTCTTAATTCTTAGTGGACATTTGCTGGATACCATATAAAGTGCGATTTTTGAAATCAATTTTCCTCTTATTAACTCAAATACTGTCTGAATTTGAGTTTATAAGTACTATCTCCATTACAAACAAACCTTTTATATATATACTATTAGTTTAGTATAATTAATTATTTCTTATGAAGGGCATATCTGTAAATGATATTAAATGGTATAGAATAAAAAATGATATGATATGGTATAAAAATATCAACATATTTTAACAGAAGTGATAGAATATGTAAGTCGCTGCTAGCAGGTTTAAGCCGAGCATTGTGCGACCATATCAAATTATGATATTGATATTTTCATATTTTAGGACTCAATGCCGTTACGACTAAAAGGTAGCCATCATATAAACTTACCTTCTGGCATCGAAAAGATCTTCACTTTGGTTTCAGGATTTTTAAATGAAAAAGCTAAACAAAGGGTAAATATTTACCGATTCATATCCATTTTTATATAGATTTATACATTATAACAATATTTATTTAATAGATATAAAATAATATTAGTTAGTTAATAATATTAGTTATACATTAGACTAACTTTACGTTAGTTATCCTACAGTCTACCTCGCTTATTGATGAATGGATGAATTAAAATAAATAATAAATAAATTGAAGCATTGGATAAACCGGGCCGTATCCCGAAAAACTGTCTTTCGAGAAAAACCTTTTCCATATTACTAGTAATTATATTATTTGTCTTGTTTTTCAAGTAATATATCCTTATACGAGTTTGTTCGTAAATTAATTAGAAAAAAATATTTTTTATGTAAGGAAATTACTCAGTCTGGTCATGCAACTCAGCATGTAACTCAGGAGGAACCAGCGCGTTGTCGGCCTTTCATTTGCAAAAAGCTCAAAATAGGCTACGAAAAATAATTTCTCTAGATGCGTAACCCAACAAAAGTACAGTTTACCCTAAAACAAAAGAGTTAAAACTAAAAGTCTAACTAACTACACTAATATTAGAACATGCAAAGAGAAAACACAGTGAAGCGTGGCAGAGTAAAGTCAGTTGTATATATTTTTATTAAGTTTAGTATGCCTTACGTCAAAAGCTTTGATGCATGTACTCAGAATGTACATTTAAATTCTAAGAATAGTGATGTAAATTCGACAAACACTGGAAATAATTATAAATGATTTATAACGTATCATCGACTACAGAAGGTTCATGACTAATAAAAACTTGTATACTATACTCACACTATTTTTTATTTAAAGGTTTTTAATTCATTAAAAAAAATAAACACGTAAACAAGCTTATTTATTTTAGCGTTATCCTGCATAATACCATCCACGCGTCTGTTACAAACCGAATCTTAATGCAAGTCTTGCCTATGAGCGAGTGTTCTTAGTACTTTCTGTTAGTTTGTGTGCGTAATGGAACCAAAATCAAAGCGACAATTATAGGAAAGCTACTGTTCTAGAGAAATAATTATTCGTAGAAAATAGCTAAACAATTCGGATATCTATTTATTTGTTAATTACTTATACTTAAGCTGTTACTGATATAAATAATTACAAAATATTCCAGGACAATTTTAAAGTCATTGTTACTATTATATTACAAGAGTATGGTAATTTTCTTTAACCCAATGAGTGACCTTTATCGTTGTGTCCTTCCAGTTAAAAATACATAAATCTTATGAAGAACTAAAGGAGCATTTTCCTACAGAAATAATTCCCAAAGATTACGGTGGAGCCGGCAAAACCTTTGCGGAGATTACAGGTGAGTGTGCCTAGTGTAGTTTGATAAAACATGCTTCTCAATATAAAAACTATATAACTTGGTTTATTTCTGACTATTTTATGAAGAACAACATTATGCATGTGTTTTGTTTTGACACCCTTGTGCTTATTTTGGAATGTATAATGAATATAAACCTCGATTAAAAGAAAAGTTAAATAAAAAGAAATGTTTCAGAAATAGTCTTTCATATCATCATCATCAACAACCTCTACTAGTTTACTGCTGGACATAGGCCTCCCCTTAGAAAGGAGGATTTGGCCTACTATACCACACTGGCCAGACGGATTGGTATAGGGTTTGTGTCAAGTTTTCCTTCTCTTTGCATAGCTGTTGTCCTGTGACGTTTACTCCCTTAGTCGGCTCTTAGGACACCCACGGGATGTGTCCTCACCCCACGAGGTGGTGACACTCGGTATTCTTAATCTGTCACCACACGAACTCTATGATGACCTACATTTAGGTTTCGTTTAATACAATAGAAAATTATACGAAAAACAACGTACAAGTATAGTATTTTTACTTATACTGAATCTAGTTCTACAATCCGACCTTATACGATCGTTGTAATAACTATAAAAATCGTTACTTTTGATGCTAGCTAGAACTATATATTTGTGGCTTTGTAAGTAAATTGTTAAGTGCGAAGTTAAATTCTATAATTTTTCGTGTAAATAAGAAAATAGAGAAATTAATGCTTCCATATGATCATTTTCTTAAAGCTTTGTATATGCGATAGGCAAGATTTAAAAAAACTACTTTAATAAATCATTTTTAGAATATTGGGTATCGAAAATAAAGGAATATCAGCCGTGGATGAAAATGGAAGAGGGATTGGGAACTGACGAACTGAAACGTATTGGCCCTCCAGTTACTGAAGACATCATGGGCGAAGGATCCTTTAGACAACTGGCTATAGACTAATTTTTTATGAAATGTTTAGTAGTTGTTGTAACTGCTGCGTAATAAAAGTATTTTAAATCGACAAAAACAGATTTGTGTTAAGTTCCATTTCAAAATAGACATTCAGTACGTAACAGAAATTACATATTTTGGACTTTATTTATGCTAAAATTTTTTATACTTTTCTTAACTTTATAAGTCCTTCCTTCCTTCCTTTGGAACTTTTTTCTGGATGAAAGATATTCTTTGTCAATAGTCTTTGATGTATTCCTGGCGACGTGTATGCAAAATTATATATTAAAGGATTAATGGTATCTCACCGGTTACCATTATTGATTTTTATTTATGTATTAATTTTATGATTTAATGAAACATGAGATGATGATTTTGATATACATATATATCAATGTATATAAAAGCAGTGTGGTGTAGTTTGACACCCGATAGGAACGATGTTCCTTGTGCTTTTGATAAATATTTCATTTATAAATTTTGGTCAACGAATTTTTAAAAGAAAATCCCACCAAAATCATTTTCATGTAAAATGTTGCCAAAAAGTGACCGGCTTGGCCGTTTCTGTCTTTTAATTTTTACTTTATAGATACAGCAACAGATCATGCCTCACACAATAACAAGTTACAACGTCCAAAGTCCAATCAAAACTACACACATCATTCACAATCGCGGTAATATTAGTCGTCACCGTACAAGACTTCGTGACTAAGTTGTAGAATTTGTGAAGTTTTGGCGTGAGAGTTAAAAGCTTGGCTCTACGTGAGACCATAACTTTTTGATAGTAGGAGCGATCTAGTCTTGGCAACAGTCACTTCTTTTTAACTGACTTCAAAAACACATAACAGGGAGGTTCTCAATTCGTTTGTATTTTTAATATTGCTTTTTTATATGTTACCCTAAAAATGGTAAAATAAATCCTATTAAAAAAAAGAGTTGAACCGACTTCAAACAACACTGATAAAGAGCACTGAAAGTTAAAAAAAAAAAAACAATTCTAAGTAAAAAAAAGTCTCCTCAAGTCCTCTCAGGTCATATTATAATAGCAATAGACTCTTCTAGTCTGTTTGAAGTCGGTGCCAAGCCCGATGCACAATAAGTAAAACTGATCTATGTCAGCACAACAAAGCATTAGGAATGCAATATAATGCTAATGAAACATGTTAATAAAGCATTCAAAATAATAATGTCATTTGAGATGTGCGTAACCTCTTTGGCTTGTTCAGTATGTTTTGCGCAGCACAAAGACTTGCAGCTACCGCGCTACATTTCAACCAAGCCTAACAAGCACCTATTTGGCTTGGTACCGACTTCAAACAGACTAGAAGGGAATATTGCTATTATAATGTTACCTGTTATATTGAGGGTACTTATTATAGCTTTTTACTTATATTTGTAATTATTTTTTACTTTTTAGTGCTCTTTGTCTTTGTTGTTTGAAGTCGGTTCAACTGTTTTTTAAAATAGGATTTATTGTAAATTGCTTATGATATTATTTACAACATGGAGTACGGGCCGAGTTGGGCGGCCGGGGGTTCGGGTAAAAGTTCCAAGTTTTAGATTTTTTTTGTTTTTTGTTTACTAATGTACATACCAAATTTAAGCTTTGTAGGACTATAGGAAGTACCCTAAGAAATTTGATGATCATCAATGAGAATGACAAAATCGGGATTTTTAGATATCAATAAAATCTAAAGTATAAGAGCTATGCAATAGAAACCTTATATTTTTAGTAGGTCTACTATTGACATCATACCCCTAGAATTTTGTTTATCTGATATAATCCAAACCCGAGTTATGTGGGTACAAAAAAACGACGAGGCGCTGGTAAATACTGCTGAGGAAATGGTAAGTACTGCCCTTGCGCTTCACGTGGCTCGTTTTGGCCGGCCAGGGGTACCCTCGTGCCGTCAGATAACTTGCGTGTTTTTTTTTTAATAACCAAAAAAACAACAGCTAGGTAGTTCTTTAAAGAAAATCAGCAATTTTTTTTTATTACAAAATTGAATAACCTAAATACTATTGATTGTAGAGAAACAAGACTGGTCTCTTTTTATTCCTCATCAAATTCTGTAGATGTCTCCATTTCCGATGCGTTGTTCTCGAGTTATTAAATAAAAATACGCAATGCAAGTAAATGGATTACTTTCTCTCCCTCTCGCTCTGCAGGCAGTGAATGCAGAGCGAGAGAGATAGCAACTAACGCTTTTTCGACTAAATAAAGCACATTGTATACACCTTTAAAATACGAGGGTTTCCCTTGATTTCTCTGGGATCACATCCTCAGATCCTAACTTGGTGACAAATGAACCTCGGGAGTATACCCTTTCGACTGTAAAAATAATTTTGAAATTTATTGTGTGTGTTGAACATGACTTAAGACTTTTGAGACGCAAAAAGACCGGTCAAAAATGACTGATTCGTAGGCAGCCACTGCTTCTTCGGCACTTGAAAAATACTGGCTTTTTATCTTATCTTTTATGGTAAGGAATAAAAAGAAGTCACAAGGAGCTAAGCCGGGGCTGTAAGGTGGGTGAGGTAGGGTTTTAGTACACGTTTCTTGAATAAGTGTGAAGACGCATTGCCGTGGTGAAGCATCATTTCCGGAGCCCGGTCTTTAGTCGTCTGTCTTGCACAGCGTTGCAAACTTTTAACAATGCGACTGTAGTGTACCATTCTGAGTTAAGAGACTTACAATACTCTAGCATTGTAAGTGCATAAAAACATGTTTTGTACGCTAAACTTTGAAATTCTAGTATTTTCTCTACTATAATATACATATAATAATAATAATAAAGCCTTTATTTCCGAAATAATTTCATGTTACATATTTTCGTGTCTTAGTAAAAAAATTGAAATAAAAGTATTTAAAAAGAGTTTATAAAAGAAAGTAAAACTTATAAACTAAAACTACACTTTCATTATAAGATGTCTCTTGGTTCGGTTTGCCTTACGGCAAAGGCCTCCTCCAAGTCTCTCCATTGCATTCTGTCTGCCGCTACTCTCATCCAAAGTGGTCCTAAGGTCATTTTTAGGTCATCCTCCCATCTTATTGCTTTACGACCTCGGCTCCTAGTGCCATCCCTTGGGTACCAGACTGTCACCTGTTTGCTCCACTTTTCCTTCTTGCAGCGGAGCATATGTCCAGTCCATCTCCATTTGAGTTGATCAATACGTGATTGTATGTCAGTTAGTTTTGTTTGGCGCCTGATGTCTTTGCTTGTAACTTTGTCTATTAGTTTCAAACCTAGCATACTTCTTTCCATGCTTCTCTGACATCTTGCTAATTTGTCCCTATGACGTTTCGTCAAAGCCCAGGTTTCACAGCCGTATGTAATGCATGGTAGGATACAGGTGTCAAAAGTCTTCTTCTTGATCTTCATGCCCAGTTCTTTGCTTTTCATGATTTCTTTCAATGCCCAATACTTTTTCCACCCAGTCGCAATTCTTTTGTCTATTTCTTTGGACATTTGGTCTGTTATCGATATTATCTGGCCTAGATACACGTATTCCTCTACATATTCAAGTTTCTGTCCGTTTATGGTTATGTCTATAGGTATTGAGTTGGTCATCATTTTAGTTTTGCTTGTGTTAGTTTCTAGTCCTACTTCTCTGCTTCTATCTACTAGGGTTTGTATCATGGATTGCAGTGTTAGTGGGTCCTCTTCCAATATAACCAGGTCGTCTGCAAATCTTAGATGATTTAATCGTGCTCCGTTTATGTTTAGCCCCAGATGTCCCCATTCCATTTTTCTGAACATTTGTTCAAGCACTGCTGAAAAGAGCTTTGGTGAGAGTGGGTCACCTTGTCTGACGCCCCTATTAATCGGAAAAACATCCACTGTAGATTCTAGCCTGATTCTAGCTTTGCTTTCACAGTAAATATTTCTGATGATATTAATGTAGGCGTTTTGAATCCCCTGCTCTTTAAGACTTTGCCATACAGATTCATGTTTAAGGCTATCGAAAGCCTTGGAATAATCTATAAAGGCCAGGTAAATGGTTTTGTTATATTCAATGTACTTTTGTATGAGCTGTTTGATTGCGTGTATATGATCAATTGTATTGAAGTCTTTTCTGAACCCTGCCTGTTCCACAGGTTGATTTTCGTCAAGTGTGACTGATATTCTGTCCAGAATCACTTTAGCGAAAACTTTATATACATTTGAAATGAGAGAAATGGGTCTATAGTTTCCTATGTCGTCTTTTGGACCTTTCTTGTGTAGAAGTATTATATGAGATTCTGCCCATTGGGTTGGAATGCTGCCGGTATATAGACTTTCGTTGAAGAGCTTTGTTAGTATTGGGCTTAGGTCTTTAATTGTCCCTCTCATGAGTTCGTTTGTGATTTTATCTGGACCGGAGGCTTTTTCCATTTTTTGACTTTTTATAGATTTTTCCACTTCCGATACTAATATTTCAGGTATAACTTCTGCGTCCTCCATCATACAGTTTTGTGTACTATTAGATTCTCTATCCGGCAATTGTATTTTTGGCTGATTTGCACTGTGTTCTTTGTACAGTAAGCGGTAGTAGTTTGTTGCTATATTTTGGATTTTCCTGCGAGAAGTGGATGACATATTTTTATCTGTTAACTTTGGTATCCATTCTTTTCCCTGTTCTCGGAGTTCCTTGAGCGCTTTCCTCGTGCCCCCCGTTCTGCTAATGTGATTCTCTAGGGTTTGGATTCTTCTATATTTCCTGTCCTTCCTCATGCTTTCGCGAATCTGTTTACTAAGGTTGTTGATTTCTTTTTGGTTTTCTTTCTTATCCTTTTCCATTTTTAGATTTCTTCTGTCTTCAATTAGTTTTAAAGTTTTTTCGCTATGATGGGACTTTAGACTTTTGTTTATTTGTATTCTTGCCTGTTCCCTGAGTTTGTTTTCTATTATTTTATATTTTTTGTTTAGGTCCATGTCTGAGGTAACTACTTCCATTAGGTCTTCTGTGGTATCGTTTGGGTTACTCTTTTCTCTAATTGCTTGTAAGAAGTTCATTTGAATTGCTTT